TAAAAAGGGGGGGAGTGTTTCTGAATCAGAATTGTTTTCGCTCGAACATTTTTATTCAGTTTTTATCGATGCTAGCAATCACATATTTGTTTTTCAATATTTAACACTATAATGTATGGGGAGGCTCTGGATTCAGAATATTTTTTTAATCATCTATGGCCACAATATTTTTTTTTATCAAATTAGGGATCAGAATATTTTTCAGAGAAACCCCCCCCCCCCCCCTTTTTGAATTCAAATGGTCGTTCCCTAACTGCTAGAAAAGTTGTGCGAAAAATTTGAATGAGGTTCTACGTAAAGACCATTAAAATGGCATCTAGATTACTAGTGTGAACAAATCTTATGTACAGGTAATTAAACAAGATAAAATTGAGAATGGAAATGGGGAATGTGTCAATGGAAGATGTATAGATGTGAACAAAATTATAGTGAAACCAGTGTACATTACATTTAACTAATTGTAAACATGTTTACTGTACATGGCGTTTGGTGTGAACATGGCCCAAGTTGCATACATCCACGTGTTATTTGTTGCATTTTGAAAAAAATATATATGCTAGTCCTTACGACAGCCGTGTTAAAAACATTTATGTGTCGATCATACATGAAATTACAGCAGAAAATATTACAGTATAAACGTAACTGAGAAATAAATCATATCTAAAGTACTTTTGGCTGCTTGGGTCTGCTTTGCTGTGCTTTGATTTATTCATGATTATACCATTTGGTATATATCTGTCATTGAGTAGTCTTTTGTTAGAAATTATAATGAATTAAAACTGATATGATTCATGAGTGTTTTTATAGTTATAATATTTCTTATTCCATCATGCAAATGGATCGAGACTTACAGTATTTTAATCCCGAACTCGGTGATGTGTTAGTGTAATTCACACGTACACTAGACACAGTTAAAAACCAATCGTTCAGAGAACAATTCTGTCCACGTCAATTTTCTTAATTATTGATGGGAAGCTACTTCCAATTAACTAAAATTGCATAGACAAAATGTATACGGTAGAAAAAAAAAGTGGCAGAGGAAGAAAAATAAATTAATCAGAAGAAAATCAAAAGGTCTTTCCATAAAAAAGTGGAAAAACCTAATTACGTTCCCATTGATAAAACAGAAATTCACATGTAGTTTAAATCATGTTTTGTCTACATGCAGTCCATAGTCAATGTAGGCCATGTGAAGGTTAGGTGTACACAAAAAAAAGTATTTAGTACATGAATTTTACCATGTTTATTTAAAGAAGAAATGCATTTTGAATAAAATTGATAATTATAACAATTGTTAATAAAGTTCTTCGCCGAATTACTTGTCTCAACTCCATATATTGCTTTGTTATAAAAAAAAACTTGAAGTAGCTTTATAAATCCCTTATCAAGACTCACAGCATCATCATTGCTATGCACATTTTTCATTTGAAAATTTCTTCCAGAATTGATTGGTTGCACACATAAATATTTGCCACAGGTCTTTACTCTATCGACGATTCACTCATGAATGCATTTCTAAAAAAAGAGTGTGCAGTAAATAGTATTGTTTGACTAGTATCTCAGATCCGGTAAAATGCACTTAGACATAAAACAGCATTAATTTGGAAGGTACGAACTGTTATTTTTAAGAAGTATCTGAATGGTAGTATCGGGTCATGAATTAGTTCAAACTCGTGATTTTGCGTTTTTGCATTTTAGCGATTTTGCGTTTTCGCGATTTCGTGTTTTCAATTTTTTTTTGCGTTTTTGCGTATTCGCGACTTCGCTTTTTCGTCTTTTGTCATTTGACAGATTATTATTTACATGGATCTGTTCTATAGGAAGAAAGTTACTACTGTGGATTCATTGCTTTTCGAAGGTACCAATTTTCGTTGTTTGAGGAGAATTGCAGTTTCGTGGATATTTAATTTCGTTGTTTTGACAAAGACTGCATACATTCCTTTAGAAAATTCGTAATTAGTTCATCATTTGAATTCGTGGTTCCTCTGTACCAACGGAATCCAAACACATTGTTATTCAACGAATAATAATGAAATCACAGTAGTATAAAGAAATTGTTAAAATATTGTCTTATCCAGAAGGAATTACTATTTTGTTAGATGTATTTGTTTTAAGGTTGCACGAAAACAGCACATTTTTATATAATAGCAGTTTCCGTCAGTTCTTTTTTGTCCTTACAGGATGCTACACAGATATATCTTACTGACAACAACAAAAATTAACACCAAACATAGACTACTGTGGTTTTATTTATTTTCGTGGGTACCAATTTTCGTGGATAACGAAAACCTTGCATTTTCGGGGTTATGTGATTTCGTGGTTCTGCGAAAATCTGAATAACTACTTTATAGAAATTTGTATTTCGTTGAAAATTTAAAATATCTGGTTCACCTGTACCCACGAAACCCACGAAAATTGGTATCCAACGAATAATAATGAATCCACAGTATACAACACAAGGAAAGTTGTTACATTTGATAGCTATCATATGATAATCACAAAAAGGGCATTATATGAGAATCACATACAAATCATTTGTAGTAAGTTTGCTTGTGTGTTAAAATTAAAATATAATGCATATATCTATTTCCTTAAAACTCTTCCATAAAGTGCAAGCTTTATTTTCAATATAGAAGTAATATTAAAATAAATCAACGGAAACAGCTAAAATGTCCTTTTTGGTGCAACATGAAAACAAATATACATGTATCTAATAAAATATTCATTATTGGTTGGTAAGATAATATTGTAACAATTTCTGTATACTAATTACTTTCTTCCTATAGAACAGATCTATTTAAATAAGAATCTGTCGAATAAAAAAACGAAAAAACGCGAAAGGACAAAAACGCCAAAATCACAAAAAACGACATCACAAAATCGTGAAAACCCTAAACGCGACGAAGCAATAAAGCGAAATCACGAAAAGGCGAAAACACGAAATGGCGAAGTCGAAAATGCGAAATAGGAATGAAAAGGTAATTCGAGTTTTCGCATTTTATGCAGCCAGTATAAAACTGACAAAAAAATTAACCTACTAATCAACGGGACCAGTAAAAAAAAATGCCATATTTCTGACTTGGCACAGTCTTTGTCCGACGAAAATTGTTCGAAAAACGATGGGTTTTATAGTGGATAAACAGCCTACTGGTTTGAAAATTGTTTATAATTCCGTTATATTGACCAAATTGAGTCATATTATAAAGGGTTGAAATTAACAAGTTAAATAAACCGGTAGATTGTGATCGCTTATTTTGCGAGAATAAGATCTACATAAATACGAGACTTTTCATCAATGTTCATGAATATCCCTTTAAGAAAAAAAAATCAGAACTTTCAATTACTTTAACATTTTTAGAGTCAGTGCTGATTCGCGTTTGTTTGTTATTACATGGGCGATTTGCTTTTACCGTTGAAGACCAATAATGTGCTGATATATATTCTTCTGTTGAACGATTGTTTTTTTTAATTGTTCAGAACTTTTTAGAAGATATAGAACATGACAAACTAGAACTGATCTATATATTTTCTTGTAACATAAGTTGTTGGGTTTCTGTCTCGTTGACGATGCATCAAATCGTCTAAATTCACGGACGAAAACATAAAAAACGGTTGATTAGATGCTACAAACTGCATAAAAGACGAAAATAATTAGTTAAGAATAGGCATCAGTAAAACAATGACAATAACCGAACACATACATCATATTAACCAGAAAAAAAAAAAACATTCTCAATGTGTCAATCAAAATCAAAATCTGATGGAAGACAAGCAATATCATAACAAAAGAAACCAAATAGTTGTCCTCAAATATTATTTAGAAATTCAGGAAGTTCACTTGTCATGTTTTGGAATTGTTGTAAGATTTTCGAATCCTCTGTTTTTATCTATTTGAATGCCTTAAAAATTTTCCCAATTGACTCCCATTTCCTTTTTATGAATCTTTTACATGCATAATTATAAGCCATCTGTAAAAGTCTTAAACAAACTTAATTAATTTGGAACAGTTTTTGAGAACTTTAACTTGTCAATGATAAAGCTATGAAAAATCAAGAGATAACATTTCCCCGCTAAAATATTTAATGGCTTATATCCCGAAAACAAGCACATTGACCTTTACTTTATTTTTGCTCTTTTTGTTTCATTTCCTCATCCCCTATCAATATATACTAGTGTTATGAAAAGCTTTAGAAACTGAGTAGCGAACTCCTTTAAGACATAGTTTCTCGTATCAAACTGCTAGATGACTGAGTAATGATATATTTAGGTGTTTCACCATTTTCAGCACTGTTAGCTGTTTCATAGCGGCCAATTTTTATTGATAGATGAACAGGAAAATAGTCAATCCTTGATAATTGAGATTGTTACGAACGCAATTGCCGTGGATGAGGTCAAACTCATGACAACGGTCAATCCAGGCTAGCGATGCAGAGGTTGTGTAACTTAGACCACGCGGTCACGATATCCATCCAAATCGTTAGACATAAGTGTGAATGAATACAAGTGGTCTAAGAAGTAAAAAGTTATTGCTCCACTAAATGAATCATTGGTTACAACAATTTTGTATTTCCCACTGTAATCAATATTTCTAGTTTTTAGATTTGTATTGATAGAAACAGTTTTAGAAAACAAAAATTAATCTTTTTGTTCGAAATTCATTCCTGTGAAACATGTTTGACAGTCTTTTACAATTTTTTCAACTGAATGCACAAATATTACAACAAGTTCATAAGTGTAAGTTTTTTTACAGAAGTATTACATCTTTGATTTGGCCCTATTTTAAATGACTGCAGAAATGCATGTCGGACGGATTCAATGTCTCCTAATAATTGTAAAGCAATTCCAAGAATAGTGTAGGCGTCAGATTGAAACATTACATAATTTTCAATTAAAAAAGTTTTCTGCTATAACAAGGTGCAAAGTTTGGATGGAATCCTGACATTGTCCGACATCATTTAGATGATAATGACATAAAAAGTTTAGAAAATAAGCATAAACTATAGAGGAAATAAAATATATTCCATTTTACACTTCCATTTGTAGTTCATTTTGGTATTAACCAAGAGTTTCTTGTAAATTTCATATGATCTATACGTATTATTTTCCACAATTGTACAATACTTGTTCTTTCGAATAATTGCGAATCGGGCAATCGGACTCGAGTATCTGACATATCCTTGTCGCAAATTAGTTTTTCATCAGTAAATTTCAATATAGAATAAGCAATGATGTGTAACGCATTACTATATTGTTTTGACTTATAGAAAAACGATGCTATCATCAGCCATCCAGATAACGCGTCATGATGAGTATTCTGTAGCAGAGTACAAAGACAGGAATTATACAGTTTGTAATGGTGTTTTTTTTTACTACTATTCGTACTGTGCAATGGAATAGACTGTGCATTTTGTCCAAACAACAATGACATGTAGTATGTATAAAAGTGTTTTACTGGTGGTTGGTAACAGGAAACTATCCCGTGCATTCCTCTTTTGTATGCATTAGTGTCCCATTTAACTTCAATCGTTGCATTTGCCAAACATGATAGTTCTGAATTAAGTGTTTTTGCAACCTCGACAGTATGCAGTGTTTGTGGTTCAATTTGAACCATCCACATTGATACATGAAAGTTAGATAATTGATCTGAAAATAAGATGCATCGCCATCCGTAACTATGCAGGGTATACAATTTCTCTAACAATATTTTGCGAGCGAGTCCCTCTATTTTGTTCTCAAACATGTTGTTCTCTGATATGAAGTAATGTAAACAAACTGAATAGTAAACACAATATATCAGTCTGCTAAAACATCTCATGAAACAATGTATGAGATTTTCAGGTTCCCATATTGATTGCAGTAATTCTTCTGATATCCAGAATATAATTGTTTTCAAGAAATATGAACAGAGTAAATCTTCACATTTGGTGTAAGTTACTATAACATCTTTCAAAAGAATTTTCAGGAGGGCATAACATATTAATTGAGTGTGTGTAAAAGTATTTATTAGGAATTTTTCACCAACAGAAAAAGAAATTCGCCATTCTATAACCTCTTTTGGCGATTCCTTCACTCCCACCGGTACAAAAAGTACACTGTGTTTTAAAATACTTTGTTTGACATTATAACTTGGCCATGTGTGACTTGATCTTGTTATCCACTGTGATGCTTGTGATACCCATTTTGTTCAATGTAAGCTCATGGCATTATCAAACTTTCCTGCTTTGTCAGCTATACATGGTCCATGGAAAACACTATCTGTATTACTCAAGAGCATTTGTTTGAATAATGCGCTCGTAATGTGTCCCATTAAGTTCCACAAAGCATTTATACGGAAATAGAGAATTCTTTTTTTCCTCTATCAACTTAGTGAAACCTGCTTTTACATCATCTGTTTCCATTGATAAATATATACCATTTGAAATGTAAACCGGTTTAATGTCTTCATCAATCATAAAGTGTTTATTTACAAGCATTATATCTAAATCACTACCTCTCATCTCAAGGCCTTCTCCAAAACTTCTGCTTGAGATAGTGAGATTAAACTTGTCGCTTGTCACATTATCCCTGACAGCATTCATCAGTCTCAGATTTTTATACATGATTCTCTGATCCAACTATGTTCTGACACATATAACAATACAGTGCTAATGATATGGTTTTTGTTGCTGAGTCTGAAATAAACAAGAAATCAATAAAATGATATTCATAATAGGAAATGAAATACATTTTTCACTATTTTAATGTTAAAATAGAACTACTATTGCAATTTAGCTTCAATGAGTAGTTGCGATCTCAATTTATCTTAAAAATGGATGATCAATTCACAATGATCATTTGTGATACTGATTTAATGGTGAAATTTTATACTACCCGACCGTTTAATAAAACTGTCATTATAACGAGTAATATTTGTTCTCGTTTGAAATAAGTCGAACATCTTTTATATATATCAGAAAGCAAACAACTATGAAATCTTGAGAGAACAGCATCTTCCTGCTCACATCCAAGTAGTAGTATTTTCGATTGATCATTTTATATTTTGCAAGTTAGTGTGTTAGTTTTTTAACGAACCTTAAATGACTTAAATAGTCCTTATGAGGCATCCACTGCGTAGTGCAGAGTACCAAATATGAGGAGTTCTTGTATCCTATGAAACAAGTCTACTAAACTATCGATAATAAAATACGATTGATATTATGATGGTCAATAAAGCAACAATCAACAAGAATAAAGACAAAATGGTAAATATTAAAGTACGATATATATATCTATATACTAGTATACTGATATCGTAAAGTAAGCGTTTTGACAAAACGTTGTGTAAAGCAAAAGATAAAATTAATTAAAATAGAATAACACAGACCGAGGTAAATGACAAGCACTGAATAACAAACTCCTGACGTTTCGTAACATAACAAGAAGAACATGTTGGAGATGAACATGTTTGTGAACCTGTCCCTCTTACATGTGACTAGTACAAATCTTTTGCAATAGATAATTCATGTATTAACCGCATTCTGTGACAGCGGTGTAACAACATAAAATAAAACCAGTATGTAAAACAGGATGGAAAGGGCTTGGCTGAACGTGATGTTTACCAAGCACATAAGAAAATAACAACATTTAATATAAAAAGTACATAATTTACCGAGGTATGAGTAGTAACAGTTAAAAATCATAGTTTGTCCTTTTCATTACTATTTTGTCAAAAAGTTTGAAAAAACAAATTAAGACACGTAAATTATCACTTATATTATTTGTTTTATCACAATATCTTTTATGAATTTACAATGTGGGCTATTTTCATTTCGAGGTTTTGGTCCTGCATGGTATACAGTTTTGTACTTCATTTGGCGTTTAAACTGTTTTGATTGGAGCACCGAAAAGTTATATGTAGACGAAACGCGCGTCTATCATACAAAATATCAGCGTTGTATCTTTGATTAGTTTTTTAACATTGCAAATTCATGTTGAGGTGAGATATTTCTTCGGGAGGCCACTGTGGAGGACCGCCACGAATTATTGAATACAGCAAAGGTATGCGTGTTAAATACAATTTTGACGATTCTATATGCATAATGATTATATTGGGACAGACAACCGCGGAATAAAATAGACATCAAACTTCGCAACAGATGGTCATTTTACGAACGTATATGTTGAGTACCTTGTGTAATATACAAGCATGTTAGTTAGCGGTCGGTTTGTTTTTCGTTGTTTCATATGAGACAGATGAAGTGCAGCCAGCAGATTGATCGATATATAAAATTTCACAGAATAAAAGTAGAGTAAAATGATACTAAGAAGATTACGCTCATAGGTGCAGAATTCATGAAACAGTATGATAGTAAACATAATCCGTTATTGGGACATTTAGTTAAAACAGTTTCTTATTTTTTAGTCCTTTGTAAAAACTAAAAATAATAAATAATCGCAAAATACAATTAATTATTACATATTTGAGGCCAGTTATAAGCTGTTATCTTGTGTAAATAAGTATATACATCGAATATTTCTAGTGTTTACTATTGATGTTAGCACCAGATAAAATCATAATATGTTGATTTATAATGTGATGTTATAATTCGAGTCACAAGTCTTATGTAGATTTTATTATTCGGATGCTAGTGTGCTAATTATGAGAAACGTTCACATTTCCAAAATGAATTGCCTCAAATGTTTTTTTTTGTTAGTTACTAGTTGCCGAATACAATTAGAACATTTCTTAGTTAAATATATGTCTGAATTTTCTCACCTTCCATTTTCTCTAGTCTGTTTAGGTTTGATGTGATTCGACGGGATAAAGTATTTATGATATTTTCTTTGTCCGCATAAAAACACAATATGTCATTGTCCTGGTTAGAATGACCTAATTAAGAAAATTACTTTAGTATCAATAATATTTAGTTTCAGTTTATAGTTTAAATTGCATTGCTTTTTGGCTTTTCATATCGGTATATCGTTTCAAAACGTTTCTATCTTCTACAATTTGAAACCTAGTATGAGTTTAAATCATAATATCGCAATAATCTAAACTCGCATTTTGAAATATTTTATATGAATGAAACAGGATTTTTCTCAATATCGCATGATTAAAAAATGAGAAATGAAAATGAAATTTGAACTGTGGAAAAATAAATATATTATTCGTGTGCTAATTAATTTTATCCTTTTCTTTCTTGTCCACTAGTTCTTAGTAAAATATAAAATCACAAAAATACTGAACTTCGTGGAAAATTCAAAACGGAAAGTCCCTAATCAAATGGTAAAATCAAAAGCCCAAACACATCAAACGAATGGATAACAACTGTCATATTCCTGACTTGTTACAGGCATTTTCCTATGTAGAAAATGGTGGATTGAACCTGGTTTTATAGCTAGCTAAACCTCTCACTTGTATGACAGTTTCATCTAATTCCATTATATTGACAACGATGCGTGAACAAAACAAACAGACATAATAGGTAAAAATGTCAAAAATACAGCAGTCAATATTATTTTGTGTTGTGTTATCATCTTAATCACTAAAAAAAACATACAAATATGTAACAAAGAAGCACAAAATGGCATATAGACCAAGCATATTAGCAAAAATTAAAGACAAGAATACATAGATTTACCATAGTACAATAACACAATGATGGGATGTATAAGTACAAAGCCACGTCATATATGTAACGAAGAAACATAAAAAAGCACACAGACAAAGCACATAGCAAAAATGAAAGACAAGCAACAAACAAGTTTTCGAAGTAACACCAAAAGGCATATAGACAAAGCACATTAGCAAAAACGAAAAACAAGAATACGAGAATATCATAAACAATAATGATAGGATGTACAAGTACCACAAGTATCTTAATAGCAATAAAAACAAACAAATATTTTACAAAGAAGCACGAAAAGGCATATATCAAATATCAAATAATGCATGCCTATTTGCTTTCTGTAGACATTTTCTTTTCTTTTGTGTGATAGAAAGAATTGAAATATTTCCATCTTTCAAATAATAGATATACCAAAAATTCGTTATCTATCTTATAAAACGAATACGGAATGATAATACCGACAAGGCTTAATTAAATATTAATGTCATTGAACGGGTTTGTTTTTATGTACTATTTATTCTACTTCGAATTCAATATAAAAACTTACAAAAATCTGTATGATACTATTTACATCAGCAATAGATGGTCAAACATACGTTTGAGCTGGAGACAAAAGAAAGAGAGAAAGTAAGAGTGTAAAAAAAGTTTAAATGGCTACAAATGTGCATAATTGCTAAATAAAATTGACCTGTGAAAAAAATGCTATGGTAAATTGATACGAGTTGATTCATGTACATTTTCAAAGACGTGTTGCATGTGGGATTTTAATATAATTTGTCCTGTGATCATTGATCACGTCCGTCCATTGTTCATAAAGGACAATGAAAATGGGATTTTCAACTAAGATGTATTTCCATTTATTGATGTTACAAATAAAATACTAGTCATATTGAATTATTTCAATTCAAAAATGATTTGCGTGTAAAAGTACAGAGCCACGTCATATTTATAAAAGAAACACGACAAGGCATATTGACACAGCACATTAGCAAAAATGAAAGACAGAACTTGTACTGTTTGTATTGGAGTTTATTATTTATTTTCATATTGTTCAATGGTATACACTAAGCACTTGATGTACACTTCATGGACATGGAGTATGCATATGTGGATTGTATTGAAGATTCGTTACAAGAAACTATCTGTTGTATTCCTCTACGGGATGTTATCCTGTCACTGTCAACTCTGAATAAATGTCATTGACTATCCATTCTTCTTCAAATTTGAAATAAAAGCTGACGCAAATCTAATTAGATACTATTTAACATCAGCAAATAGATAATCAAACATGCTTTTGAATTGTTTTGCAGTAGTCATTTTGGGGCCCTTTTTCTGACTTGAATAGAGAGTTGTCTCATTGGCACTCATACCACATTTTCTTATATTTATTTTAAACTGGAGGCAATAGGAAGAGAGAGATTCAGAAAAGATTTATGGCTATAAATGGGGGCTTTAACAAGAAATGACTGGTGGAAAAAGTGCTATTGTTAATTCATGCGAGTTAATTCAAGTACATTTTTAAAGAACTATTCCATTTAATTTAATTTGTCCTGTGGTTATTGATCATGTCCATCAATTGTTCAGAGAGGACAATGAAAATTAGATTTTCAATTATAGATGTATTTCTATCTATTAATGTTATTAATATAAGATTTACGGAAATACAGCATGGTTTTTTTACATTAATTTAGTCGATTAGGCATTAGGTAATAGCAAAGTATCCTTTTTGGAAAACGTAAAACATCCTGTTTCAGTTCTTAATGGTTTTTAACTAATTTCGATTAGTTTTGTAGACGTTTTTTGAGGTTTGTAATGTAGGAATGGACATATGCTTAAGAAAAATCTAAATTCTACCACTAATTAAACATGATAAAGTTCTGAACTTCCTTGTTTTTTATATAAAAAACTGAGTTACGGTTAACCCAAACATTTAAGCCCATACGAAATCAGACTTACGTGATTTAGGACTTTCCGTTTTGAATTTTCCTCGGAGTTCAGTATTTTTGTGATTTTATTTTCTTAAATTGAGAGGTAACAGATTGACACCTTTTGAAAATCGATATGCACGAATAAGATTTGTGTCTGTAGAACCCTTTTTATTTCTTCATTGAATAGCTAATTTCATAAAATTTAAGACATATCTGGTCATTTAAACAGTGTTATAAGAAATACTAGTTAGTACAAATATCTGTCTATTGGTGACTATTTATTGTAATTATTGAAAACACTGGGAAGTTGATCAGTTTTCATTGTAATTTTTTCTTTCACCTTTACTGTAATCATTTTACCCTGTACCATTTGAATTTCAATCTTATTATAAAATTTTTTTTCAATATGAAGACGACAGCATAAAGTTTGTATTCAAAATGTTTTTTTTATTTTCAACAAGACTATATTTATTCGAACGTTTAAACTGATATCTCGCGTGTAAGCACTGTTTATGCAACCAACTGCATAATGCCTCTATCTGTGCGGTATCTGCGAAACAGTCCAATTTACACTCAAATGTGGCCGCTTTTATAAATTTAAATGGTGGTTTGAAATATTAGATTCCAGATGAATGTTCAAATCTCATCTCGATGTTTAATGAGAAGACTCATAGTTCTAAATTATGCACGAAAAAGCTAATATTTTATTGCAAATTCGTTGCTCATTATTTCATGTCAACTATTAAAATTCTGGTAGATAATTTTTAAGTGTTTTCCATTAAATAATAGATTATGAGTCTACTCGGTTGTCATGCATTTTGCAGGCAATCATACTTTTACATGTCGACAGTTATTTGTTTGTGTACAATGTTCATTTTTTTTAACAGTAAAGGAGGGCAAATATTATTACAGACTTAATTATTTGTTTTTCATTGTCTGTTTTATTCCTATTTCTATTGAATTGCTAACAACTTTTAAGACAATTCTGTTAACCAACTAATTTTCTTGAGCGATTTATTTTCGCGTCTTTCGCGAGAAGAAAAATGACGCAGATATGAATCACCACGAATATGTTAAACTTCGATCTAATTATATATTGATACATCAATTAAATTACAACATCGCAAAAATAAATCGTCGCGAAGAAGAATACTAGTAAAAACGGTTAAACTTGAAATAAAGAAGCCGCAAAAATAAGTCGGTTTACAGTCGGCCGTTAGTTTTCTCGTTTAAATTATTTCAAATTTTACACGTCATTGTCCTTTATACATGACTATACTGTATATGGTTTTTCATTGTTAAAAGCCGTACAGTTACCTTTCATTGCTTTTATCGTCGTCAATTGAACACTGTCGGATAGTTGACCAATTAGCGGTCATACTATATCTCCTTATTTTTATTAATACATTGACATTAACATTTGTGGAGTAATGCGAAATAATAAAACATATGCTAAATAACATGTCAAAAAGTCAATAAAAACCATAAAAATTAAGAGGAAAAGTAGTTATCACCATTGCCTAAAAAAAAGACGAATATCAAAACACTCCATTGAAAATTGAGTTGCAATTACTTCGCGAAAACTAGTTGGTTTAAGTACTTAACGATTTTTTCATGGTTATATTATAAAGTAGTTATCGCATTTCCCGGAAAAATTAATAACAAAGATTTCATTAAAATTATGGTATTGCTGTTATACTAAAAAACACCTATATGTATCGAAATACCACTTTGAAATAGGCCTTTCCCCTACTATCTGCATTTACACTGCACATCTGTATATATATATATATACATGTATCACAACAAGTTTGAGTTCATTAACGAAAGTCGCTTTCCAGCAGCGTTGCATCTGTCGACTGGAAATAATTTAAATGACTGCATGAAAGCTTGACGGGCGGATACTATGTCGCCAATCATCCGTAAAGTTATACCAAGAAGATTATAGGCTTCAGCTTCATCTGAACCGTTTATAAAATAGTTTGATGTGATAATCGATTTCAAATATTTGATGCAATTATGGCATTGTATGGTATTATTTTGATGATAATGACAAAGGAACTTAAGAAAATACGCATAAGCTAAAGATGGAAAACAAAATGATCCATATCCTAATTCTTCATCCATTTGTAGTTCATCTGGTATTAAAGCAGATGTCCTTTGAAAATGCAAAACATCTACATATATTATTTTCCACAATTGAACAATACTTTTCTTCTGGAATGATTTCAGTTTGAGTAATTGGTGATGAATATCCGACATATCCATGAAGCGGCACAGTTTTTCGGGAGTACATTTTGATATAGAATACATAATGATGCGTAATGCTTTACGATATTGTTTTGCTTTACAGAAAAACGAAGCTAACATCAGCCATCCAGAAACAGCGTCATGATAGATATTTTGTAGCAGAATACAAAGACAGGAATTATACAGTTTGTATTGGTGTTTATTACTTTTTCTAGTACTGTTCAGTGGAAAAAATTGTGCGTATTGCGCACACCACAATGACATGTTGTATGTATATGCATATTTTAGTGAGGATTCGTCACAGGAAACTATCTGGTGTATTCCTCTTATGTATATATATGATAAATATGGTGTCCATACAAAAAAAGATATCATATCATTTGACAAATGTAATAATCTGGAATTCAGTGTTTTTTCAACATCGCTAATATGCAATTCGTGAGGTTCAATCTGAACCATCCACATTGATGCATGAAAATTAGATAATTTATCTGAAAATAAAAGGCATCGCCAACCATAACTATGCAAGGTAACTAGTTTTTGCAAAAGTATTTCACAATAACTCCCCTCTATTCTATTTTCAAACATGTTGTTTTCCGGAATAAAGTAATGAAACAAAGCTGAATACTCAACACAATATATCAGCCTGCTAAAGCAACGCATAAAACAATGTATAAGATTGTCAGGTTTCCATACGGATAGTGGTAATTCCTCTGATATCCAGAACATAATTGTTTTCAAGAAATATGAACAGAGTAAATCTTTACATTCGGTGTCGGTTGCTATTAGATCTTTCAAAAGAATTTTTAATAGGGCATAGCATAATAATTGAGTGTGCGTGAATGTATTAATAAGAAATTTTTCGCCAACAGAAAAAGATATCCGCCATTCTATATCTTCTTTGGGTGATCCCTTAACTCCGACTGGTACAAAAAGTACTCCGTGTTTGATAATACTTTGTTTGACACAAGTCTTCGGCCATGAGTTCCGCGATCTTGTTATCCAAGGTACTGCTGGTGATATCCATTTTTTACAATGTAAGCTCCTGGCATTGTCATACGTTCCGTCTGGGTCAGATACACAGGGTCCATGAACTACACTTTGTGTATTCCTCATAAGGTCTTCTTTATATAATGTGCTCGAAAAATAATGTTTTCCATCAAGTTCTTCAATGTATTGGAATAAAAATTTACTATTACCTTGTAGTAGCAACTGAGTGAAACCAGGTTTTACATCATCTGTGTCCATCGAAAAATATACAACCCTTAAATTAAAAGGCTTTTTTATATCATGTATATCTTCACAAACCTCAATGAATTTAAATACATACATCATATCTAAATCACTACCTCTCATCTCAAGCCCTTCACCAAAACTCCCACTTGTGATCTGGGTACGGAGCTCGTCGCTTACCACACTATCTCTGATAGTATGCAGTAGTCTCATTGTGTTAACATGACGTTCTGTTCCAACTATGGTCTTGCACAAAAAACGATAAAGTGCTTTTGATGTGTTTGTTGTAACAGTATCTAAAATAAACATAAAACTGATAAAATGATTTATTAATAAATTAAATACAATGTTGACCGTTAACACTTTTAAGCTTCATTGAATTGTTATTATAATAGTAAATAAGCTTAAATGTGGATGAGTTGTTGCGATGCCAATTTAACTTAAATGTCTATAAATATTTGCTATGGCTTTTTTTTTGGTTGTTATAAAACAATGCAAATAAACATTTCAAAAGAGAGCCAGAAGATACTAAAGGGTCATATATATGCAAACTCATACGTCGAAAACAGACCCACAAAGCAATGGAAACAAGACAAAAACAAACGATTAACAGTCTACAAACGCTAGAAAAAAAAACTATAAAGATAGAATAACACGAATCCCACCAAAACAGGGGGCTCTCATGGATTTCAGAATGGTAGTTGGATCTTGCTCCACATGTTGCACTGCTAAAATCTTGGAAACTTAAGACGACTGTAATGTCTCTAAATCTTATATTGCAACCTAAGGGTAATATCAGTATACAGTTGGGAGGTTCACCTAGCTTTAGGTTAAACTCACCATAATCTTCAGAAAATACATGTACTAAGTCAAGAATATGACAGTAGTTTCTATTCGTTACGTTGGTTGTTAACGTTTGATTTTGTCAGCTTTTATAGACTTTCACTTTTTTAATTCACCTTGGAGTTCAGTGATTTTGCTTTACTTTATTATCGACAAATAATGTCTTGCGAAATTCTGAATTATCGGTATATGGAAATAAATTAATTGTTTTCCAACGTTATAGTAGTTACATGTATATAAAGTGCTTGCGTTTCAATTGCAGTCCTATTAAGAGGAGAGGGAAATTACCTAAATGGGCAAGAAAAGAAAAGAAATCATTTTTGTCCGAATGATCATATTATATGTTATATTGATCAAATTGTATGATTCGATTATAACCCATTGGCTAGTGATAATGTCATTTTAAGGCGTAACATTTGAACATTTTTGAAAAACTTGAACATCTTTTTTTTTTAAACAGGTCAAATATATAATCACGACTGAAGTTCTGAAAATATTTTTCTGCTAAGTTGAAGTATTTTCGACTGACAACCTCATATTTCTCAAGGTCGGGTCTTAGTTTTCTAAAAACCTCTAAATACTTGTAACTGTCCTTATGGGACATTCACGTAAACTGCAGATTGCTCTAATGAGGAGTTTAGGTCATATTCAGGAGCGTATCAAGTATTTTTGAAAGAGGGTCGTTATCCCAAAAAGCTGAGGAAATGCCGACGAGCGGATCGAGGAGGATACAAAATGTGGGCGATTTTATGCCCAACATTGTTCAGTTTTGAATCAATAGAGGGTACATGTATAACACCCCCCCCCCAAAAAAAAAAACCAAAAAAAAACCCAAACCCACGTATCCACCACTAATGTTCTTCTAGAGTTAAAAATATTACATTTTGTAAATTTATAACGTTTATAACGTGAAATATTTATCAAGTATGGACTTTTGACGTCAATACGTTGTATATGGACCTGTTCAGATTATATTGACCGAGGACGAAAAATTGGAAAAGCGTTTTATGTTATTGTGGAGACACTGTTTGGCAGCCGCTCGCCCGTCCGCCCGTTCTCCCGCCCGACCGCCGTACGTCCCTAAATCAATAATCGATATTTCCTTTGATAATCCGGTTAAAAATACGCAGAAAGAACATTGAACGCCATATTCCTAAATTAAATACATTATTTACATATTTAATATATAAATTAAAGACTTTCACTCAATACGTTATAATATATATGGACCTGTTAGATTATATTGACATTTGGACTTCGTCCTCGGTCAATATAATCTGAACAGGTCCATATATATAACGTATTGACCTCGTCAAAAGTCCATAATTGGTAAACATATATCGTCAATATATTTAATAAACTGTTATAACAGAGACATGTACTCGCTTTTTTGTAATTTTGATTATGCAAATGTTGACCATAAAATAGCAATACTTAACATGTTACATAAATTAGGCAAATGTTCAAAGTCAATGAATCATGACTGAGATACTTGGCTTAGCAATCTCAATGTAAATGAGATGTGCCAATGTTAATACAACTGCTTATCATATACTTGTATAAAATATGACTAAAATTTTACAGTTCAATAACATTTAAAAATATTAAAAGGCTATAAAAGGATTACTAGGCATATTGACCAGATTCCTAAGAAATTACTCAGCGGGCTGATAAAGTAACCTTTATTGACTGCTTCCGGAATGTTATCACATGCTTTCCATTAATTTCCGTGACGTTTATCACATGCAACTGCGTGCATTTCCCGAAATTTGTTCGAAAACGACAACACAGTGCGGAAAACCGCAAGTGATTTAAGACTTTTCACAAAATGGTTGAGGAGCAAATTTCAAACTAAGAACATGATAATTGTTGTGACAAGATAAATAAAATGCTTGTTATATCAATAAAAACAATTAAAGTTAAGAAATTAGTATTAAGTTGTCTGTAAATTATTATCTAAAAATTCATAGAAAGACAAAATTTTAACTAATAGTTCTTATCTGTATTTCTTCTCCTGAAGTATATGATAAAAAGATCATATGCATTACACGTCATTTTTCATATCGGACCCTTTACCTGCCCTCGTTATTGATATCAGCCCTCGAGACTGCGGCTCTTGGGCTGATATCATGACCTAGGGCCGATAAAGGGTCAGATATGAAAAATGCCATGTAATAATCTATACATACCAAATATCATTGACTTATTATAAGTCGTTCCCTTTAAACAAACCTAAACACAAACATTAACTTGTAAACTTTGAAAAAGTTTCAAAATCAATGAACCATGAAGAGGGGGTGGAGCTATATAATCCCCATGGAAGCAATACTTACAAATGCCATTAAATTTGCATACCAAATACCATTAACTTAACATTAATATTTCATCTTAAACTGATCTAATCACAAACTAATACATATAAACTAAGCAAAAGTTTCAAAGTCAATAGACCATGACTGAAAGGATGGGGCCAAATATTCTACATGGAAATGAGATGTGCTAATGCTGATACACCTGAATACCAATTAACATTGACCTACCACTAATGGTTCCCCCTGAACTGACCTAATCACAAACTAATACATGTACATGTTAACTAAGCAATTTTTTCAAAGTCAATAGACTATGATTAAGGAGGCGGAGCCAAATAAACTCCATGGAAATGCGATATGTCAATGCTTATACAACTGCATACCAAATATCATTGATCTACCACTAGTGGTTCCCCATAAACTGACCTAATCACACACTAATACATGTATAATAAGCAAAAGTTTCAAAGTCAATAGACCATGACTGATGAGGCAGGGCCAAATAATTTCCATGCATGACAATGAGATGTGCCAATGCTAATACAACTGCATACCAAATATGATTGACCTATACCACTTGTGGTTCACCATAAACTAGACCAAATCACAAACTAATACATTGTTGACGCCGCCGACGACAGAAACAGCGAGACAAAAATAGAAACAATGATTCAGTTACGTAAAATAACATTTGAAACACGTGATCGTAATATCCAATGAAAACAGTAGAATGCTATACACCATATGTAATTCAGTACCGCTTACGTATGGATAGGACTTTATCATGTTATGTCTTGAAAAAGAGTAGACTCTAGAAAAGTCAAGTACTGTTTTCTAATTTTTGTTGCTTCAATTCGGGAAATTTGTATGGGAAATGTCCTTAAAATATTTCCAATGTTACATTGGTTAAACGAGGAAGCTATATTGATATACTGTCCCCAGGTTAAACATTTGTTTTGAAAGTATAGGTTAACGTGCGCTTTTTTCTCTCGCTTTTAATTTACGTGAAAAAGAAAGTTGACAAAGAATGATGAATTATTTATATACTTTAAAGATTATATAAATTGAGAATTTTTAACTATTCTAATATTACGTAGGTATTCCTTACCTGCCATTTTGTTTGAGCTGTTAAAGTTGGGTATTTCCGTAAATCATCATGATCATGTTAAATCTGCTTTCGTTTCTTTTTTCTAATCAAATATCAAATCAAATAATTTTTTATGTGTTTATTTTCTAATCTATGTGTTATTTAGGGAATATACATTATAAACATAGTAATTAAAATGACAAACGTATACACATTCATGAACAGAAGAGCCAGTTGGGTAAAGGAAAGACAACTCCACTTTACATAAATGTGTATTCGATCATGTTTTTGTTTAAATGTACTTTAATCATTCTAATCATTCTAATCATTTAGTGTACTTTATTTTGTATTTCGTTTGATTGTATAGCTCAAATTTTAGGCACAATGATTGGTTAATAGATCATCATACAGTGTAATATATAACATGTATAAATATCCCATCGGAATCTTAAATTATAAATGGTAAATTATCATCAAATTAAATCAATTTATTTGAAAGTTCACCTTTCAATTAAGCTCCTAAATGAACTCCAGAAATTCATCTCCTGATTTGTATATATAAGTATAGGTCATTCTCTATTAGATATTCATAGTAAAGGTATCAGTGTTATTTTTCAGCACAAGTCAGGATAAGGTATATATAAGGCAAAATCATATCCGCGGATAAAATATCATTTGGCGAAAAAAATGTTACAGATGATATTGTTAGATTTTTCCGTAGGAAAATATTTCATTGTGAGACTATTTTCCATTGCCATGAAATTTTTGCCAGGAAGTTAAATTATTGAATTGTTAATAAAATAAACTAAATCTTTACAAATAATATGGAATAATTTGAATATAAGCTAAATTAGTGATCATGAATAAAAACCAAATAAATGTATCAAAATGGGAAATGTTTTCAAAGATAATAATTAAAAATAATACCCTGAATGAGGTTTTAAGTAAATATCATTCTTTTTCAAGACAATTATTATGAAACATATAAAACAAAACGAGAAGTGATTTCACAAATCTCAATTGTTAGAACATACTCTCCCCTTTTCGTCCGATTCAAAGTCAGTTTTTTTCCCTTTAAATTTCATAGTACATGGCTTTCGTTTCTTTTATCTAGTCAATTATCAAATCAAATATTTTTTTATGTGTTTATTTTCTAATCTATCTGTTATTTCGGAATATACATTATAAACATAGTAATTAAAATGACAAACGTATACACATTCATGAACAGGAGAGCCAGTTGGGTAAAGGAAAGACAACTCCACTTTACATAAATGTGTATTCGATCATGTTTTTGTTTAAATGTACTTTAATCATTCTTATCATTCTAATCATTTAGTGTACTTTATTTTGTAATTCGTTTGATTTTTATAGCTAAAATTTTAGGCACAATGATTGGTTTATAAAATTGTCTTATTTTATCTTATCTTATCTAGTGTCGGCAAATTGTTTCATTCTGTTAAATGGTGGGTTGCTTATCATTTGGGAGCCCGGAATTCACTTCATGTTATTGGGTGTACAGGATTTATATGTGCCAAAAATATGGGTCATGATTTTGCGAGATTTTATATAAAAATGACCCTCCTTTTTATATCATCCTATATTAAAATGCCTTTACGTTTGGTAACTGATTTAGGGTATGTATGATCATGGGAGTATTATATTGACGTCAATATAATACTTCCATGGTATTATCTACATATCATACACTACAAAAGTCTAAAAGTCTGAAAAGACTAGTTTTTGTCTTAATTTGCATGAACTTTTACTCGACATTCTCCAAAAGTATGACTTGTGTCTTAATTTTTCTTGACAAATTCTCATTTATATTAAATTTGTATGAAATTTACTCGACATATTCTCGACATTCTGAATATGGTCTTAAAATTTCTTGACAAATTCTTGACATTTGAATACTGTCTTGAAATTTCTCGACATGTTCTCGACATTCTTATTTTTTCTCAGTATGGCTTGACATATTCTGAACATTTTGAATCGTGTCTTAAATTTACTTGACAGTTCTGAGTTTTACAAATCATGACCAATATTCATGATATAACTTTAATCTTTATTTCTCTTTATATGATATACTGTTGTTTCAAGTTACACTTCTTTACAACAAAAATAAAAGTTGGGCATGTAAAATCATTGAAAATTTGGGTATATAAATATTTTTACAAATGCAAATATGGCTATGAAATCTAAAGTATAAAATAATTCAAATGTGGGTGTGTTGATATAAAACAATTTCAATGTGGGTTTTCAAATAATTACAAATTTTGATTCCTAAATCTTATAAATTAAATGATTCAAACCAATCATACTGTAGACATATTTCATTCTACATTCATAATATTCAATGTTGATATGGTAAATAATTATTATACCAAAATGTGGTTTATATAAATAGCAAATTATGATGATATACAAATCATTCATTTAACAGAAGAAAAATTTGTGTAATGTCATCTGTTGGAATATATTAAGTATTAATTACACATGAACAGGATGTTCCCCATAAAATTAAGGTATTCCACACCCCAGAGTACACGCAACTGTCAAATAGAAGTTATTGCTTTACCTGTAATCAGCCATACAACTTATCAGTTGACCGACCATGCCACTACAATTTAAAAAGTTTGTTTATAGATGAAAATGAAAATCATCATTTTGATGAAAAAAAATTGAATTGAAATGGATTTTCTTCATCAAAATTATGAAGTTAATTATTTTAACATAAAAACAAATTGAATAATTCCCAAAGATTAAAAGAAAATTATTATCTACTCCAGGAAGAATAAAAAAAATGTATTTATAATGGGTCCCAACAATATAGAAATCATCGGTCTTATGAAATGGTTCTCAAACAGACATGCATAATATAGATCTAAACATTTATTTCTTTTCAGGAAGGAGTTATCACAAATATATATTTTTGATAAAAAATTATAAAATTCAACACTCAAATTTGAATAAAAAATGTTTTTGGGTTGTTCTAAAAAATGAATAAGGTTTTTGAATCAAGATGGGAACAAATTCTTTGACCTAAACGAAAGCCCCCCCCCCTTTTTTTTTAGCCACACAAACCCAAAAGGTGAATTGTGGGGTCCAAAAGAGATACAAGGCACCTATTTTAGTAAAGCAAATTTGACTGACAGTTTTGCGAACGGCAAAAATCTAAATGCTGTTTGTCAATACCTTCGACTTATATTCCAAGTGAAAACAATTACTTAAATGTTTAATAAAAATAAATCAAAATTAAACTACATGGGGGATTATTCAGGGTATTCCAACTTAGTTGCACCAAAAGGGTATCTTACTATACCAATTAATCCTTGATTCTTCAAAGTTTAGTTTAACCATAATAAAAAGGAGTATATAACAGCAATAGAATGTCATAAACAGTGCAGAATAAGTCTGATTACATTTCAGGCGAAATTTATACTGTTGAGATAGTGTCAAGACATATTTAAGACTGTCAAGAATGTGTCGAGTCATATTCAGACATTATTTAGAATGTCAAGAATATGTCGAGACATATTCAGACATTATTAAGAATGTCAAGAATATGTCAAGACAGATCGAGACAAATTTAAGACAGTCAAGAATTGGTCGAGACTAATCCAGACTCTTATCAGATGATACAGGAAGTGTCGAGAAATTTTAAGACAATGTTCATACTGTCAAGACACTTGTCAAGAAAAATCAAGAACCTTATTAGACAAATTCATACTATGTCAAGAATTTTTAAAAATTATTCAGACAAATTAAGAATGTCGAGTAAAAATTCATGCAAATTCAGACAAAAACTGGTCTTTTCAGACTTTTTGACTTTTGTAGTGATAGACTCTGAGATCATAGATCATCATACAGTGTAATATATAACATGTATAGATATGCCATCGGAATCTTAAATTATAAATGGTAAATTATTATCAAATTAAATCAATCTATTTGAAAGTTCACCTTTCAATTAAGTTCCTAAATGAACTCCAGAAATTCATCTCCTGATTTGTATATATAAGTATAGGTTATTCTCTCTTAGATATTCATAGTAAAGGTATCAGTGTTATTTTTCAGCACAAGTCAGGATAAGGTATATATGTAAGGCAAAATCATATCCGCGGATAAAATATCATTTGGCGAAAAAAATGTTACAAATGATATTATACATTTTTCCGTAGGAAAATATTTCATTGTGAGACTATTTTCCATTGCCATGAAATTTTTTCCAGGAAGTCAAATTATTGAATTGTTAATAAAAAAAACTAAATATTTGCAAATAATATGGAATAATTTGAATATAATCTAAATTAGTGAATGAAAAACCAAATAAATGTATCATAATGGGAAATGTTTTCAAAGATAATAATTAAAAATAATACCGTGAATGAGGTATAAAGTAAATATCATTCTTTTTCAAGACAATTATCATGAAACATATAAAACAAAACAAGAAGTAATTTCACAAATCTTAATTGTTAGAACATACTCACCCCTTCTCGTCCAATGAAAAGTCAGTTTTTTCCCCTCTAATTTTCATAGTACACGGCTTTCCATGCACTATGAAATGCTTTACATGAATGACTTTTCATTGCAGATTAATTATGAAAGTGAACTCTTAATAACTGCACTAACGAAGTGTTCAATCCCCTGAGGCATTTTCCTTTTGAAAATAGCCTCTTGATTAAAGATGAAAGAGAAAATAATAAAAAAACAACATTGTGAATTTTGCAAATTTTTATACATTTTGTAATGGTACACATATATTGAATAAACAAAAAATGAAATGGGGGTAAAGATGTAGGTAAAATAATATTTATTTAATTTATACAACTGACAATTGAGTGAATTGTAATTTTTTTCTTCAAGAAAACAATGCCAGACTGCAGCGCTGATGTATAAAGCAAAAATACAATACATGTACATTTATCAATAAAAAGTTACAGCATCTAATATTAAATGGTCTGAATTAAAATATTTATACAGTGAGATTTATAATTATAAAAAAAAATCAAATTTCAAAAAACGGATTAATATAACATTGTGTGCTTTTAAAAAAAAATAAGATAGGGTATGTTGGTAATACGTCGACCGGTCTTACATTCTATATAAGTATTAAATTTTACCTGAAGCAGAAGAAAAACAATTTATCCTTTTGGTCCTCGCAAACTATGTCAGTGCTATTTCATTCCATCCATTGAAATGATCATTACCTATGTTTTACATTCAGTTCATTATAAAAAGTGAACTCTTATTTAGGTTTGAATATTACAATTTAGAACATACTCACCCCTTCTCGTCCAATGAAAAGTCAGATTTTCCCTTCTAATTTTCATAGTACATGGCTTTCCATGCACTATAAAATGCTATACATGAAAGACTTCTCATTGTAGATTAATTATGAAATTATGAAAGTGAACTCTTGATAACTTCACTAAAGAAGTGAACAATCCCCTGAGGAATTTTCCTTGGGAAAATAGCCTACTGATTAAAGATGAAAGAGAAACGAATTATAAAAAACATTTTGAACATTGCAAATCTTTATATTAATGGTACATATATATAACAAACAAAAAATAAAATAAAATGGGGGCAAAGATGTAGGTAAAATTATTTTTTATACAATTTTTATACCAGTCATTCGAGTTGATTATTTTTTTTTTCAAGAAAACAATGTCAGACTGCTGATATATAAAGCAAAGGATTTTTTTTAGAACAAAAACCCACAATACATGTACATAAAAAAAAAATAAGCATCTGATGTTGAATGGTCGTAATTCAAATATTTATAGAGTTAGTTTTATAATTATCAAAAAATATTCAAATTTCAGAAAGCGGATTGATATAACATTGTGTGCTAATTAAAATCAAGAAATTTAAGGTATATAACTAATAAAGTATTACATTTTTACCTGATACAGAAGAAAAAACTCAAATGTTTGAACAATTTATCCTTTTTGTCCTCACAAACTATGTCAGTGCTATTTCATTCCATCCATTGTAATGGTCATTACCTATGTTATATACTCACTTCATCATAAAAAGTGAATTCTTATTTAGTTTTGAATATTACAATGGGAAAGGATAATTTTGTAAAGTCACTCGAAAGTGTGAGTATGTTCTAAAGTGGTCAGACAATACTTGGTCATGTTTTATGAAGATTTAAAGCCCTCGGCTACGCCTTGGGCTTTAAATCTTCATAAAACATGACCAAGTATTGTCTAACCTATAAGGAAAGGATAATTTTGTAATGTCACTCGAAAGTGTGAATATGTTCTAAATTGGTCAGACAATACTTGGTCATGTATTATGAAGATGTAAAGCCCTCGGCTTCGCCTTGGGCTTAAATCTTCATAAAACATGACCAAGTTTTGTCTAACCTATAATGAAATAATATCATGATCAATAAGGTAAGTGAAATACAGGTAAAAGTGAGTTGTTTTTAGATCTCAGTACAAATAAATTGTGAACGTAATTAATAAGTACATTTATTAAAAGTGCAGTTTAATTTTTAAAGTAGTTGGTGATAATGTGACAAAATCAGATGAATCATAACGCAACAATATATAATAAACTGCTTCGCTGAGCGCAGCTATATACGCCCGCAGAGGTCCAGCCCTGAACAGTTGGGGCAAAAATGGACACAATATTCAAGCTTGATACAGGTCTGAATTTGGATTGTAATTAAATATTTGACATATTATAGGTTTCTGAATAAATGTAGTCAAAGAACTTGAAATTGGTTATATGAATTGAATTTATATTCAATTAAAGATTTCTTGCTGTTGTGCAATACACTGTGCTGTTGCGCAATACTTAGTAAATCTGTTGTCAGACTATAAACAAACAATAACTTCTCAATGTTATATCAGAAATTTATAAAAAAAAAACTAAAGGGAAGTTATCTTAATAGATATAAATCAGTCATCAAAGTTTAATGAAAACTGATCTAAGCACTTTAAGGATATTGTCCAAAAACTTGAAAATCAACCCTTTTTTATGAATAAAATCTTATAACTCGGAAACGTAATATCTTAAATTTATAAAAATCAAAAGGGAGCTTACAACAATAGATATAAACAATTTACCAAAGTTTCATAAATAATGCTGAAAGCATTTTTGAGTTATTGTCCGAAAACTGGAAAATCCCCCTTTTTGTAATGAATAAAACCCCATAAATCGGAAACGTATAGTCTAAAATTAAAAAAAAATCAAAAGGGAGCTCATGGCGATATAAATAAACAATTCACCAAAGTTTCTTGCAAATTGGTGAAATTGTTTTTGAGTTATATTGTCCAAAAACCCCCCTATTTTAATGAATAAAACCCCGTAACTCGGAAATGTAAAATGTAAAATTTATAAAATTCTAAAGGGAGCTTACATCAATACTGAATATATATAAACAATTCACCAAAGTTTCATAAAAAATGCTGAAAGCATTTTTGAGTTATTGTCCGAAAACTGGAAAATCCCCCTTTTTGTAACGAATAAAACCCTATAAATCGGAAACGTATGGTCTAAAATTTATAAAAATCAAAAGGTAGCTCATGTCAATAGAAATAAACAATTCACCAAAGTTTCTTGCAAATTGGAGAAATTGTTTTTGAGTTATTGTCCACAAACTGGAAAATCCCCCCTTTTTTAATGAATAAAACCCCAAAACTCGGAAACCGTAAATCCGAAATTTATAAAAAAAAAAAAACGAAAGGGAGCTCACGTCAATAGATATAAACAATTCACCAAAGTTTCATGCATATTGGTTAAAGCGTTTTTGAGTTAATGTCCGACATGTTGACGACGGACGGACGGACAGACGGTCAACGGTATACCATAATACGTCCCGTAAACGGGCGTATAAAAACAAAAACAATTTCAACAGGTGATAGTATTTACCTGTGAAATATTTCCTGTCTTGAAAATTTTAAATTAAAGTAATTCTTTAATATTAATTAATAAAAAAAAAATTAAGAATAAAGGAAAAATTTCACTATGAAATCGATTCCTGAATGAAATATCTATAAAATGAAAATTTCTCATAATTACCTCCCTTTGATTGATAAATTATTTAATTATGATCTACCTTGGTGACAAATTCATCATTATGGTCAGGTATATATAGATTGCAAGTACCTTACATAGTAGACCATGGGATTGTATTTCATAATTAAGCTTCCGTAAAATGTGTAACGGAAAAGATTTACTGTTAAATACTATCCGTATATGATGGATAGAATTTCACTCCTCTGGACAAATTATAATCTACCCGTGAAAAACCATGTCTGGAAAAAAATTAATGTGACAAATTCTCCTCCGGATATAATATCACAGAGGAAGAAATAAACTGTTACATATATGGCTTTGACAAGAAATGACTGCCACTTTATTTGAACTTAAAACAAAGTAGCCAATAATGCTTGAAATTGCAGAATTTGACATAGAGAGCAATGGAGCTATGGATTGCATGGTAGTTTTATACCTAAACCACAAAATAAGCAAATCCACTATTCTATGTCCTTCTTCTGCGATATCGGGTTCATGAGTATGCATTTTCAATGAACGACATGGTGTTCAATATACCTATAGTAGTCTTAGGAGCATTGAACAGTTGAAACTGTATTTGAATACAAAATGGGTGCGTACGAAAAACAGGGGCGAACGTGTACAGTGCGAACGTGTTCTGGGAGCGAACGGACACGATGCCAAATAGACCTCAGATATCTAGTATTAATATTGTAACTCACATTACAGCATACCATGCTGGTGATTTGCAATAAAACATCGAGAATGAAACATGCATGCAGCATAGTATTATTATTGAACAGAAGACCTCGCATTCGTAATTTGTAAATGTTCATAATGGGGCGAAATACATTTGGACCGAAATAGTTAAATCCATAGGATCACTGCTGCGTTTAACAACTAGGAAAATGCAAGAGTACATTCAAGTTTACGATACATCGAAGAAAGTGACGAACCAAATTTTAGAACTTTTACAAACTGACAAATATATATTTCCCCTGTATATGTGCAAAGGTTTCCTTCTGCAATAAGGGAATATTATGGTGATGTTATACAACAGTACAGTAAAATAACTACATTATATGTTTGTCTGATCCTATGACTGTCTATTTTTCTTTCTTTTTTTCAATTTTTTGTGCGGTCCGTTCTACAGTTCTATTTCGGCGCACTCTAAAACTAACAGTTTGACCGTACACAAACAGTGGTTATAAATGGAATAACATCAAAAACAGTACCAGTTACATCAGGTGTGCTCCAAGGAACTGTCCTTGGGCCTATACTCTTTCTAATTTATATAAACGATTTTCCAGAATACCTCGATCACAGCAAATTACGACTCTTCGCTGATGATAGCGTTATATACCTTGAAATAACATGTCAACAAGATTGCACAAAACTAAAGCAGATCTTAACGCAGCTGCAAAATGGGAGGCTGATTGGCTCATGGCCTTCCATCCAGGAAAATGCACAATTTTGACAATAACACAGAAAATGAAACCATTCAAACACAATTGCATTCTGCATAACCATACTTTAGAACCAGTAACAACAGCAAAATAACTTGGCGTAACCTTACAGTCAAATTTAAAATGGAACAATCACTATGACAACATCATATCAAATGCAAACAAATATCTTGGCTTCCTGAAGAGAAACCTAAAAGTATCGAACACCAATATCAAATCCTGTGCATACCAATCCATAGTGAGACCAAAACTTGAATATGCCTGTAGTTTATGGGATCCACACACAACAGAATACAAAAATAAACTAGAAATGGTACAGAGGCGTGCGGCCCGTTATGTATGTAACACAGGCATGGGGTAATGCAAATTTGTAATTGTAATGCATGGTAATGCATTACATTTTTCCAAGTAATTGCATGTTATGTGTAATGCAGCAATTTGTGCATTACATGTAATTGTAATATAATGCATTACTTTAGCAAAAAGTTGTGTAATTTCATGCATTACATGGCATTACATGTCATTACATGTCATTACATTTTTCACATACTACATCTTTAACATATTGTTGGAGTTTTAACTAAACCAAATTTAAGATTTCTTGATTAACTAAGAATATGTTAATCATTAGAATATATTTTTTATTTCATCTTATTTCATACATTTTCCTGCATCAAAAGATTGATATTTGAAAAGCATAACTGTATTGTTGTCATAAGATCAAAGAATATCTTGTCTTGCTTAAATGAAAGACAATTAAACTTTGTTATAAACACTAATTAGTTTGTTTTACAATCAATATTTTCACCATTTAGACAATTTTTCATTAAATAATGTCTATGTTTATTTTATTATTAGGGAAGTAATTCACTGTAATTAAATATTTCTTTTAAAATTAAAAAAAAAACAACAAAAAGTATATTTATAAAAGTAAAGTCAACATTAAGTTAAAATAATTAAAATTGTAAAAGTCGAATTAAATAGACTTTTTACATGTATACTTATATTCAATTCATGGAACAGTTACTGCATATGCTAGAATCTTTTGTGACTTCTAGTTGTTTTTCAAAATGTTTAATTTTTCTAGTCACTTAATAAAATTTTCAAATGTAATGTGTATTTCAAGGCATTACTTTGCAAAAGTAAATGTAATATAATGCATTACTTTGATAAATGCATGTAATTGTAATTGTAATATAATGCATGGTTTGGTCAAAGTAATTGTAATATAATGCTTTACATTGCAATGTAATTCGCCCCATGCCTGAATTGTAACAACTACCACAATACCAGTAGTGTTGCATCCATGTTAAACAATCTCCAATGGCCCTCACTGAGCGCCGCCTCAAAACCAGATTAATTATGTTCTACAAAGTCATCCATGGACTCATTGCAATTCCATCGCTAGTCCTTATACCAGCAGATACTAGAACAAGAAAATTACACAACCAATCATTTCGGCGAATATCCACCTCAAAAGACAGTTACAAATGGTCATTTTTTCCGCAAACAATAATCCAATGGAACATGTTACCACAAGTTGTGGTAGCATGTCAAACAATTGAAACCTTTAGAGATCAGTTGACACCAACTGTTCTCCACAACATAAATTAACTCTATAAATACCAATGTACATATTTTTAATCACTTGTTATTTCTATTTCATGTAAATACCACCATTCAAGTATTCTACAAATTTAAAAATAAATTTTTGTTCAACTATATTTTTAATCACATACTCCGTGCATGTAACAGTTCGTAATCTTCAATATAAATGAAGCTGAAACTGTATATCAGAAGAAGAACATTAGTCTAGCTGCGGAACCATAGCTCTTAGGTCCTTGTGCTATTTTTTTTTTTATCTTTTGCGCTCTACGGTTCTGCAGCTAACATTAGTCTAGATGTACATGATGTAGGTCTTTCATTTTTGTCGAGCCTTCGACTTTAGTCGAAAAAGCGAGACATAGCGATCCTACATTCCGTCGGCGTCGTCGTCGTCGTCGGCGGCGTCCACAAATATTCACTCTGTGGTTAAAGTTTTTGAAATTTTAATAACTTTCTTAAACTATCCTGGATTTCTACCAAACTTGGACAGAAGCTTGTTTATGATCATAAGATAGTATCCAGAAGTAAATTTTGTAAAAATAAAATTCCATTTTTTCCGTATTTTACTTATAAATGGACTTAGTTTTTCTGCCGGGAAATATTACATTCACTCTGTGGTTAAAGTTTTTAAAATTTTAATAACTTTCTTAAACTATCCTGAGTTTGTACCAAACTTGGACAGAAGCTTGTTTATGATCATAAGATAGTATCCAGAAGTAAATTTTGTAAAAAAAAAAATACATTTTTTCCTTATTTTACTTTTAAATGGACTTAGATTTTCTGCCAGGAAACAACACATTCACTCTGTGGTTAAAGTTTTTTAAATTTTAATAACTTTCTTTTACTATTTTGGATTTGTACCAAACTTGGACAGAAGCTTGTTTATGGTCTAAAGCTAGTATCTAGAAGGAAATTTTGTAAAAAAATAAATCTATTTTTTCTGTATTTTACTTTTAATGGACTTAGATTTTCTGCCAGGAAACAACACATTCACTCTGTGGTTCAAGTTTTTAAAATTTTAATAACTTTCTTATACTATTTTGGATTTGTACCAAACTTGGACAGAAGCTTGTTTATGATCAAATGCTAGTATCTAGAAGGAAATTTTGTTTTCTTCCAGTTAACATTACATTCAGTCTGCAGTTAAAGTTTTTAAACATTTATTAGATTCATAAACTATCCGAGATTTTTACCAAACTTGGACAGAAGCTTCTTACAATCAAAAGATAGTATCAAGAGGAATATTTTTATTGATTTACTTCCTCATTTTTGTTGCGCCTGCGATTAACAGAAAAAGTAGGCGAGACACTGGGTTCCGCGGAACCCTTACGAATTTTTGTATTCTCTAAACATGCATGTCACTTTTCTATAGACTACATGTAAATCTAGTATAACGTCACAGTCATGACAGTACCGAAATTGCACCTATTCAACAAAAATAGCTGCGGAAATCTTACAAGTTTTCTTTGAGACTAAACAATTTGTATTTTTTTATGATTTGAAATTATCATGATGTATATACAGCATGTACAGTCAGGGGTACTACTTGTACAAGTATAATCTTTATTTACTTGAAGAAGTAAATAATAATATACTTATATAAGTAAATTATAATGTTTGAATAATTTCCTCAAAAATTTACTTGAGATGTAAAAACATGCCTTTAACAATTTTTCTCAGGTTAGTTCATAATTTTTGATTAGAGTTCAATGTTTCATCTCATTAATTCAACAAAGAAACTAATTGCGCAAAGATCTTAAGGTCTTAAGGGGCGTCTTAATTAAAATTGATAGAATTTTTTAATAATTTGTCAAAATGAAGTTTTTATCATGCTTTTTTCAAAAATATAATAAAAAGTATGGGTCACTGGACTTTTTTTTGACGCTACAGGTTGTGCAAAATTGTCAGATTTTATATAGATTATGCATGGAAAATCAAATTTTGTGTGATAAAAAGAAAACTACATGATAGAATTTTAAGATATAATGTGAGAAGATAGCTCTTATAACATGCTTTCAGATAAGAAAAAGAATAAATGGGGTCACCGAACTTGTTTTCTTGCTACAGATTAAAATAGGTAAATTCACAACACTTTCTATTATAAAAATTATTTTATCTGAGTTATCTTCCCTTATTTGGCAAATTTGAAAAAAAATTAATCAAACACAAATAAGGTGTTTTTGAGAAATTAGAGCCGTAATTATGATAAAACACACAATTTTCTATATATACATCAAAAGTCTTACACATAAATTACATACTAATCTCAAAATTTGCACATTTCATCAAAGATCTAGACCAACATTATCTCCTACTTCAAAATCCAAGATGGAGGAAGACACCCGAGCCACCTTAAGTATTTGCGCAAGGCCTTCAAAAATTGCCCCTTGGGGGCTTGTAAATGAGCAGTGTTTTGAAGATAACAGACAAATGAGATTTTCATTGTCCATGAAGTTACACTTAAATGATTAGTAAAGACATCTGCAAAGGACAGACAATTAAAAATTCTATTAGAACAAAGAAGTCTTAAGAAATTCAAGAAAAGAAGATAGGATGACTTTTTACTTGTATAAGTAAAAAAATCTGAAAGTCTAAGGGACATAACTAAGCCATTAAAATAATTTACCTATACAAGTAAATAAAATACACTTGTATAAGTATCCTACAAATTTACTTATATAAGTATATTAATATTTACTTCTTCAAGTAAATAAAAATTACTTGTACAAGTAGTACCCATGACTGATATACATTTCTTTCAACATAGCTAAATATAGTTAGATATACACAAAACGTTCACAGTAAATATCAACAGATGAAACATTTACAGGAAAAAGTAAATCTACAGAAAAGTTGCCATGCAACAGTCTTCGAATTTAGCCACAAGTCCGACGGTCCTGGCCAGTAAAATCGGCCGTGGACTTGTCAAATTTGTTGTTCAAAAGTCCGACTGGGCTTGTAGATTTTTCGGTAGTTGGTAAGCTCTTTGCGTCTTTGGTAATTAGTGATACCAATAAATCGGTTTCTATTTTGCGCTTTTTCACATGAATTAAACGTATTGCGATAAATACTGGATCGAGACATTGTATTAAATTACAGATCATTGGTTTCCTTCCCCCCTAACTTATATTCCCCTGACAAAAATGTTTCTTCGGCAATGTACGAGCCTCAATGTACTGGCGGAGCTCGTCCGGGTAAGCCGTTTTAGCTCCCCGCCGATGATAATGTAAGGAAGAGAAAGTACGACGCTACACGGTCGCGTCAGTTCCTTTCCAGTTGGTTAGAAGGTAGGCCGTGGTTGATGTATGATGAGTTGAAAAACAAAATGTTCTGTTTCATGGTGCACAGAACATAAAATTGATTCACAGTTTGTGACCCCAGGTAGTGACAACTTTAAACTGGATACTATTATTTTTATAATTCACGAGAAGAATAAGAGTCACAAATTTATTGCTCTAAATATGAGAAGCCTGCAGCTGAACCATCAGAGGCTGAAAAATGTTACAGCATTCTAGACAAGGCACCTTCTTTCTAAATTTTTAAAGAGAACAAAATTATTATAACAGCTACTTTTTACTTTTTTCTCCAATTGTCAATGTTATTCCTATTAAATTTATCTTCAAAACATGACACTCAAAGCTCTCAGAATGTAGGATTTTGCATCTAATTTTTCAAAATTTTTCTGGGGGGGCATGCCCCCAGATCCTCCTAGCTGGTTCGCAGCGCTTCACGCTGCTCAGCGGTGATAATAATTTGTGTGGTCTTGTAGAATTTTCTGGGGACTTGTAAAAATTTATGAACCACAAGTCCTACTGACTTGTAGGGTGAAAAGTTAAGTGTGAAGACTGCATGCAACGTTCTCAAAATGTCATCTTTTACAAATGAGCAAATTAAATATGTTACAAGCATCCATTTCTTAAAAAATGAATAGTAAGCATGGACTAATGTCAAATTGTTCTAAATATATGAAGAAATGAAACAAAACATCTGTTATGCAATTTTTAAGGATGTAAATTTAAGTAGGATGCAATTTGGGTACTTGTCATTACCATGATTACAGAATATTTGTGATATGACTTATAAATGTGGTGTTTTGTACTTCCTAAATTTGTCTTTGAAACATTCTTTTTTCCACAGAAAATGCAGATTTTTGAGAAAATATCCCAATTCGGAGACCCTTATCGATCCACGTCTTATACGCTTTCGCGCATGAGCAGTCAACGTACTGCCTGCGAAATCTATAACACTTAAATAACGAGGTCATTATTCAGGGATAAATACTACTAATTTCATTATCTTTGTCACATGAATTTTCCGGTTGTAGTAAGAAAACCAGGATGGGTTCAAACAGAAAGATGTTGATAGCAGAGAAAACTATATACTTTATCATGTTTATAATCAGTACAACTTTGTCAGATGACAATACGAATACTAAAAATCCAGGCTTAAAATAAGGCGTAGGTTCTTTACTTTAGTCACGGATCCACATTAACACAGGTGTTTTCTAGTTCTTTATTATATGTATGCCCATTATTCTCCATTCTTCATCTGTGTGGCCTCATGCTTCATTGCTTGTTGGCGAAACAAGACTATTATTATAAACAATTACTTTGCGGTAATTGAATGTGTGTTATAATTTGTCTTAATTGTTGTTTTGTCTATTGGTGTATTTCAATAGTAAATACCTGTGAGTATCCACCCGTTATTAACCCTACCACAGGATCAGTAAATCAGGTGTTGGTGATAACCAGTCAGACATTATTAAAGTATAAAACATTGTTCAGTCCTCATGATTATGATGATAATGATCCTTTATTTTTTAATAACGATCCTCTGATTAAGTATCAATTATCATGATTATAAGTTTGTCTGCGTATTCATATTGTAAAATATCATCTGTGTGTTTCAATATGAATATTTTTGTGGAGTGTGTGTGTGGTGAACAAGTTCAAAAAGGCTTGATAATGCATATCACGGCTTTGTGACGACAACATGGACAAATACATGTGTGTTGACCCGGCCTTAATAACTTTGACCTGGACATATCAACGATGTTATAATGTTCGAACCAACGTTAATAAGTTTGACCCGAAGTTATCAAGACATCTTCCGGTTTGGTGATGAATCAAAGAAACAATTGTTTCTATCATGCAAAATACACAAATACAAGCTGATAAATCGATTATCTGGTTGTCTGCATGTTGATATTGTAAAATTGCTCGACACAAATATGAAACCTTTTTGAACTAGTTTGCTACGCTCACTTGACAAATAGCTTCATATTGTGACTTGCAGCTGAAATTTTACGATATCAGTTTGCAGACAACCTGATAATTGGTACTTACTGACATGATTTATAACAAACCTTTCTAAAATTGTCTGTTTATAAATTTTGAAATTATAATTTTAGAAACTAAGGTTTCAACTAGATAGATTTGGCTATTATTCAGGTTCTTTTTTGGTTGTATAGCTCTTCAGCTGTGTCGGTTCTTATACATCTTTGGCTTTCAAATATTTGGCATTGAGAGTTCCTGATGAAGATATAAATCAAAAAAAGCTTTGGACACATGAAATTTATAACATGTTGTTTTCATTTTTAAGAAAACTTGTTAACAACGCTTTTGCAAATCAAATTTTATTCCAATAATATACAAGATGCAGTGATTGAACAAACAACATACAACAGTGAATAATTATATGAATTTATAACGAGATGAAATTTTTTTTTCTTCAGAAGTCAATTATCATGATAAAGGAAATGAGAAGTGGATCATAATCGAAACGTATGTATACTTAATTACAGGAATCTACCTTCACTTAAATGAAAAAATGCATAAATTTCCTGATTACAAAACTTAGATGTGTCTTAAATATCTAGAGTTGATCCAGGTAATTTCGTACAGGTGGGTAATTATCGTACGTATTAAATTTCTCTTGTTTTTATAATAAAGTTGAGAAATAAAGTGTGTTTTTATATCATTTTCTGATAATAAGATACTTATAACCTTGTATGTTAATGTTTTTACGGTCTTCTTTCAAAGAATATGTACAAATTTGCCATTGGTCGGAAAGTTTTGTTCTAAGGCGTTTTGGAAAGATAATGTTGTCCAAAAAGTCACCAGATTTAAGTAAATTCTAAGTTTGGTTAATTTAATGTAAGATCTTTATACTTTAATCGAAATTAAGAAAAATAAAGGAAACTGAATGCCAGAAATAGTTTCCAATTGACAGATACCTTTCCGTGTAGCATAAGTGAAAACATTTCCGTTAAAAAGGACTGGGAGTGGGTGTACGGTATTACCCAACATGCTATTTTACATACAAATGTAAGGAGTCTAATATCGTACACGTCAGCTTTCAAAAATGTCAATTTTCATTTAGTGATTAAGAGGACGTTCAATGTTGACATTATCTTTGCTTATGTCAATGATTTTTGTTACATAATTAAACTAATTGCAAAATAAAACAAACAGAAAAAACAACCCCAAAACAACATCAATTCGATATAGGAAAGAAAGAGGTTAAAAAAAATGTTATTTTCGATTCTATGAACCATATGTCAGCTGTCAAATGCGTAATAGAGATTGAAATTGGCGTGTCTTCAACATATTTTTCGTTAATTGTGAGGCACGGTCCTCTGTGCCAAAGTGGTATATGTAGTTGCTAGCCAGTCAACACTAAGGTTATGACTACGAACCCCACACATGGCAGGTGTGTTTGAATATTAATTGACTAGGATTGTCAGTTTTCCTGCCGAACAATAAAACATTAAAAAATAAATACCACACAAAGTTTGAAAACAGCTATGAACATGATGAAAGATGTCAAATATATATGTTATTAAGGCAAGTTTCCATGAAATATTGCTGAGACAAATAAAGATGATGCTATAAACCAGGAATACCAACCAACTTAAAATTAGTAAATTTTGCTGACTTGATTTTAAAGACCAGTTGGGTCAGAGTTAAAATTATGTCTGGTGACATATCTTTCTTCGGACTGTGAACTAGAACGTTAAAAACCGGATGAGCGTGTCTGTCTATAATACAAATCAGGGTCTAAATTCATATCACTTATCAAACTTAACATGCTTAAGTAATGCATGTAACATAAACCGTCTCATGGTGTTCTCGTCCTGATATCAATGTATTATTTGCCACTAAACATTACTGCCTGAAACACCAGTCCGTCATAATCGTATCTAAATCCATACTGATAATTTATTGAAGCTTTAAAACAAAAAATCTTAGGACACTTGCCTTTTGTTCCTCCTTTTGCAATTTTTGCATAAATACTCAAATTTTGCCAATATATAATCAATTTCAGCTTTGAGTTATCTTTGACTGTTTATAATGTTGTATTCTGTTATTAAAAATACTGTTAGAATCTAGTTCCAACATGGAGTTGTGATACTGTGAATTTAAATCAAAAATTGAAAGACGTTTTGAAAATGACCCTGGTATTAAATAAACAAGTCTTAGTCATTCCCAAATAGAATCCTATTTTGAAATTAATCTATGTATGGAATTACACATCAAGGTGTACGGAAATACACTACATCCGTACGATATTAGCCAAAGTGACTTTTCTGTTCGGTATATATGCTCATTCTTGGTATTTTATATTGATTGGCAATGAAAAAGTCATACATTTATACTATCTACGAATTATCTAGTTACCGGTTTCCTTTTAGAACATTGTAGTATCAAACAGGGAACCAAATGACATTCATTTTGAACCAAAAGTGTACGGAATTACCCAGACCGACTCTAAACTGCAAAAAAAAATTTAATCAAATAATGTTATTTATCATTTTGACATAACACCTGTCATGCCTGTAGTTCGATGTGAAATATGATTAAAAAAAAATTGTTGGATTTACTTTTTAAAGATACTGTGTTACATTTAACATGTTTATCTACATTTTGTGCATTTATCATGTTTGTTTACTTCAATACACTACACACGGTAGCATTATTTGCCTGATGTTATTGGATATTCCCATGATTACAGACATTACCATAAAAAAGTAGTGCCAAGAAGGCTAAAAGTTGGTCCTAAAGACTGTTATACTATGATCTTAAATATATACAAATTGAGGTTTAATCATTGTTAATCATTGTTAATTAAACATATATACAAATGTAACTTCTGTCCACTATTTGTTTGAAAGACATGTTGACAGCTTTAAAAGTATGATATTTTTTTCAGTGTTTAGTCATCATGGTCTTACATGTCTTATATGCATTAAAATGCATTTCAAACATTGTTAAGGATGTTCGCTACTCTGTTTCAAACTAACAAGCTTTTTAAAAGACTGTTAGAAATCAATAGTTTATAAATGAATAAACTAAAAAGCAGAAAAAAATGAAGGGTCCGTGTGCTTGTTTTCGAGATATAAGCTATTGAAAATTTGGCGGGAAATAATTCTCTCTAGGTTTTTCGTACATTTAACATTGGCACCCTTTTTCTTTCAAAAGTTATGAAAAAATAACAAGGATTTAATTGCATTTTCAAATATGGCTTTTTAAAATATATGTAATAAAACTATAAAAAGAAAAGTAGGGGTTAGCGGGGAAATTTTCTTAATGGCACTACATGGATAAAATCAGAGGATTCTGAATATCTGGCAAAAATTCAAAAACAAGAGGAGCGAACACCCTTAAACATGTTAAAGGTCTCTTTCTTTATAAAAGGTAAACATCAGCCACACTTTTCAACCATAATATTATACTTTAAAAAAGATCTACATCATGTACATCTTAGCAAAAATTATTATTGTCTTTGCCAGTAGGCAATGTGGTCTAGAAGAAAATATCAAAAGTAAATTGTCAAAATATTTTTTAGGATTATCAAGATATTTTTGGCTACTTAATTACAGGAATGCAAGCACGAAGTTACCAACCGTGACCAAAATCTTTAAATTGATTGTAAGAAAAGGAGTTGTTAGTAAAAATATTCCCGATATGAATGTTTAATAGTGAAAACAAACTCTTGGTATCTTCATCTATTATGTCTATGTTTTCTAATGTAATTAGACCAAACAAAAAGTATGTGTGTTTACTGTACCCCTACCTACTCTAATTTTTACCCCCTACCCTAAAGTTTTTTTTTTTACCATTTTTGATTAAGCACTGTTAAAGTCACAATGTTGCTCCCATAGACTCAATGTAAAAAAAATATTAAACATAAAAAAAAATCCCTACCTACATTTACCCTATTGTTTTTCAGCATGTAACAGTAAATACACATACTTTTTTGTTTGGCCTGAAGTATACCTTAATATAAATTTCTGAAATCTTTGTTTCAAAAGAGTGTATATTGGAACCCTGAAAGATGCAATTAATGTCATTATGAAAATAAGGAGATGTGGTATGATTGCCAATGAGACAACTATGCATCAAAGTTCAAATGAAGTGGATGTAAGCAATTATAGGCAATCATATGTCCTTCAACAATAAAAAAAAACCCATACCGTATTGTCAGCTACAAAAAGCCCTGACATGAAAAATATCAAAATAAACGTCATGACCATATTATCATGATTATTGACATACATAATTATGAAATACTTTTTTTCTCTTTCAGTAATTTTCATTAGCAAGAAAAGTTACATCTGCATGTAAACAACATGGATGCCTTATTGAATGGAATTTTGTCCTCCAACCATCCAGATCAACTGAAGAAGCAGTTACTGCATAAAATTGCAGATAAAGGGGCACAACCACAGGCAATAAAAACAATAAAATCTGTATTTGAACTCACTGTAAACTGGTACCTGGAAATTGATAATGAGCTAGCATCAAATGAAAGCTTGACTATTTTAAAATCTTGGGCTAAACACAATTTGTCAACTTTTGAACAATTTTTTGACAGAGATTATTTAGTTGGTTTACTTTTGAAAAAATGTCGCAGAGAATGCAACATACCGATTCTTGTCAAGGAATGTTTACATCTTCTTCAGCGTTCGTCCATATTTTATAGTCACCTAAAAGTTGTAGAAGCGATGGCTATTAATTATGTACAACAACACCCTTCAATGGCTTCCATCGTGAACTTCATTAGTTTGTTAAGAACTTTTAAAGAATGCATACCGAAAGGTGATTTCACGTCAAAATTTTGTGTTGCATTGATAAATGGGGTCGCATTAGTAGGTCATCCAGATGGAAAGGTCTTAGAATATATTCAGGGTTCTGAATTAATTTTCAAGTTCATCAACGCGTTATGGAACCAAGCAGATTCTAAATTCATTTTGGAATCATTAAAAGCCGTGTTCACCTTAATTTCTGACGAAAGCATAGAAATGACTTTCTGTCTTGGAGCGATTGTTCAGCATATTCCAAAAGAGATGATCGATATCGTTGTTAGATATGCGGTGTTTGAAAGTAATATAGATGATGACAGTATGACGAGGGCATTAAATAGGATCATAGGTTGGATCCAATGGCCAACAGCGATAAACGTCAGTGTTTGGATAATTGGATTTTTGCAGAGTCTTGCAGCAGAAAAGAGATTCACTGTTTTGATATCTGTCACTGAGGCCAAAATAGAACAGGTTAGAAATCGATTACTGTGGATTCATTATTATTCGACGCGTACCAATTTTCGTGGTTTTCATGGGTACAGGTAAACCACGAATTTAAATGTTCAACGAATTACAAATTTTCTTGAAGATTGTATGCAGTATTTGGCATAATCAAGTATCCACAAAAATGCAAGTTTTTCTGAATCCACGAAAATTGGTACCCACGAAATATAAATGAATCCACAGTATAATGAATAACTGAGACCACTTTGATTCTTTCCTGTTTGACATTTCTATGATTTTCTTTGTTTTCAGTAAACTGTCTTGGTAGTCTTGTGTTAGGTGGGCTCTCCACGAGTGTGTTAATCTTGTTTTTTTCCAAAAACTAGTCATACAGAAGACTAAACAATTTGAATTTGCTGCTTCTGATCAGTTAACATGGTTTTAGCACATGAATTAAAGAGGAAAACCAAAAACTATTTCTCATGGTGGCATGACATGACATGTTTTACCACTACCTTTTAAAATAGCACTACACATACATGTATGTAAAAAACCTTGCTCTGACAGCATGCAAGTCGGGAGTACAAAGCAACCTTCATTTACATGTGACAAATGTTTTTTTCAAAAATATACAAATGTTATATTTGTGCTTCACATTGTGTGCACAGTCATCATTTTCAGAACATCAAGGTGTAATAATTGAAAACTTTCCAGTATGAATTGATCTGTGTTGTCTCTGATATTATATTGATTTTATCTTGCATATTTTATGACATATTTTGTCAAAAGTGTACATGTACATGAATTCTTTTATTTCATATTTTTTCCTGATTTTTATACGACCGCAAAAAAATTTTTGTGGTCATATATTGGTATGACGTTGGCGTCGTCGTTGTCCGGCGTTGTCGTCGTCGTCCGAAGACACATTAGTTTTCGCACTCTAACTTTAGTTTAAGTGAATGGATCTCAATGAAATTTTACCATAAGGTTCAATACCACAAAAGGAAGGTGGGGATTGATTTTGGGGGTTATGGTACCCACAGTTAAGGAATTAGGGGCCAAAAATAAGCATTTTTGTAACTTCCAGACATAACTTGTGTGTAAGTGTATGGATCTCTCTGACATTGTACCACAAGGTTCCATATCTCAAAGGGAATGCTGGGATTGATTTTTGGGGTAATTGCCTCCAAATTTTAGGAATTAGGGGCCAAAAAGGGGCAAAAAACAAGCATTTTCAGGGGTTAAAAAATCCACTAGCACGACTCCCGGGACTCAGCATTTAGGCCTCGGGCAACCAAAACTTGTAACCCAATATTCCCCGACGGTTTAGTAACAAAAAAATCTTGGCGTTTCCAAAATAAAAAGTGGAAAATCCACACATCACTATTCTATCTTAGAACAGATTCAACTACATCATCCAGGATTCCCAGAATTTGAACTGATTTTGTACAAGTTTTAAAATAGAACAAATAACTCGGGTGGATCCCGTACTTACAATATCGATTTGTCAGTACAGGGGGTATTGTACATTGCTTATGCAACCAGAGAAATATAATGTAACCGGACTGTACCTCCTTCTGAATAATTTTTTGCTATATAAATGTGAATCGCTTTTGACAGGAGAAACCTGACTTTTGTCAGATATAAATTTGTAACATGTGCACATGTTATGGATGCCATTTTGTTTTTGTTTACATACTGTGAAGAAGCCTCTAGAACCATGACCTAAACATTAACAGTCTTCAGAAAACTTAAACTTGATGCAATAATATTTCATCAATCATGATTATCTTCATTGATATTCAAATAAATTAGATTTTTAAAGAAATAAAATTTATAACAAATACAATTTCAGTTTACAGACTGTACTCAGTTTGTAATCTATTTATAGCCCACAATTAGCTTACCTGTGATAAATGAGGGTAGTAATGCCCTTTACCGTCAGGCGTCAAACGGTCATTTACGGCTACCGTTAGCGTCAAATTGGTTAAAATTTTAGCGTGACTCGTCAAAATATCCTTATCGTGACTCGTCAGAGGTCTCAAATAATTATCGTTACCGTTATTTTTGGAAAAAATTTAACGTGATTCGTCAAAATCAGTAGATTTTCTTATCCGTTGTACAGTAGATTTTTGCAAATCGGACACCGCAAACTTATGTCAGCAAAAAAATATCCCAGTAGCATGAATAGCAGATATATTCAATTAATCGATAATTGTATATTCATTGAATATTCTGTAATAATGAGTTGACCAAATCCTGAGATGGTACAAGTCTTGACCATCGCTAAAGAAAGTGTACATTTTATCGTCATGCACCAAAAATTACTGTTAACGTCATTTGGCAAGATTTTTTACCATTATTCGTCATGAACGTACCCTCATTACGACCCTCATAAATGTAAATATGGATATTACTGTACCTCGTTTATAATCACTACAAAATTCAAAAAGTCTGAAAAGACCAGTTTTTGTCTGAATTTGCATGAATTTTTACTCGACATTCTTAATTTGTCTGAATAATTTTTAAAAATTCTTGACATAGTATGAATTTGTCTAATAAGGTTCTTGATTTTTCTTGACAAGTGTCTTGACAGTATGAACATTGTCTTAAAATTTCTCGACACTTCCTGTATCATCTGATAAGAGTCTGGATTAGTCTCGACCAATTCTTGACTGTCTTAAATTTGTCTCGATCTGTCTTGACATATTCTTGACATTCTAAATAATGTCTGAATATGTCTCGACACATTCTTGACAGTCTTAAATATGTCTTGACACTATCTCAACAGTATAAATTTCGCCTGAAATGTGAACAGACTTATTCTGCACTGTTTATGACATTCTATTGCTGTTATATACTCCTTTTTATAATGGCTAAACTAAACTTTGAAGAATCAAGGATTAATTTGGTATAGTAAGATACCCTTTTGGTGCAACTAAGTTGGCATACCCTGAATAATCCCCCATGTAGTTTAATTTTGATTTATTTTTATTAAACATTTAAGTAATTTTTTTCACTTGGAATATAAGTCGAAGGTATTGACAAACAGCATTTAGATTTTTGCCGTTCGCAAAACTGCCAGTCAAATTTGCTTTACTAAAATAGGTGTCTTGTATCTCTTTTGGACCCCACAATTCATCTTTTGGGTTTGTGTGGCGAAAAAAAGAGGGGGGGGGGGGGGGCTTTCGTTTAGGTCAAAGAATTTGTTCTCATCTTGATTCAAAAACCTAATTCATTTTTTAGAACAACCCAAAAACATTTTTTATTCAAATTTGAGTGTTGAATTTTATAATTTTTATCAAAAATAAATATTTGTGATAACTCCTTCCTGAAAAGAAAAAAATGTTTAGATCAATATTATGCAGGTCTGTTTGAGAACCATTTCATAAGACCGATGATTTCTATAGAAATCATTGATGGGACCCATTATAAATACATTTTTTTTATTATTCCTGGAGTAGATAATAATTTTCTTTTAATCTTTGGGAATTATTCAATTTGTTTTTATGTTAAGATAATTAACTTCATAATTTTGATGAAAATCCATTTCAATTCAATTTTTTTTTTATCAAAATGATGATTTTCAATTTCATCTATCAACAAACTTTTTAAATTGTAGTGGCATGGTCGGTCAACTGATAAGTTGTATGGCTGATTACAGGTAAAGCAATAACTTCTATTTGACAGTTGCGTGTACTCTGGGGTGTGGAATACCTTAATTTCATGGGGAACATCCTTAATATATTCCAACAGATGACATTATACAAATTTTTCTTCTGTTAAATGAATGATTTGTATATCATAATTTGCTATTTATAAACCACATTTTGGTATAATAATTATTTACCATATCAACATTGAATATTATGAATGTAGAATGAAATATGTCTACAGTATGATTGGTTTGAATCATTTAATTTATAAGATTTAGGAATCAAAATTTGTAATTATTTAAAAACCCACATTGAAATTGTTTTATATCAACACACCCACATTTGAATTATTTTATACTTTAGATTTCATAGCCATATTTTCATTTGTAAAAATATTTATATACCCAAATTTTCAATTATTTTACATGCCCAACTTTTATTTTTGTTGTAAATAAGTGTAACTTGAAACAACAGTATATCATATAAAGAGAAATAAAGATTAAAGTTATATCATGAATATTGGTCATGATTTGTAAAACTCAGAACTGTCAAGTAAATTTAAGACACTATTCAAAATGTTCAGAATATGTCAAGCCATACTGAGAAAAAATAAGAATGTCGAGAATATGTCGAGAAATTTCAAGACAGTATTCAAATGTCAAGAAATTTTAAGACCATATTCAGAATGTCGAGCATATGTCGAGTAAATTTCATACAAATTTAATATAAATGAGAATTTTTCAAGAAAAATTAAGACACAAGTCATACTTTTGGAGAATGTCGAGTAAAAGTTCATGCAAATTAAGACAAAAACTGGTCTATTCAGACTTTTAGACTATTGTAGTGAATGTATCTGATAAAAATCACTCCAATCCTTTTATATAACCATGTATAGCAGTGGTCAAGACTTGTACCATCTCAGGATTTGGTCAACTCATTATTACAGAATATTCAATGAATATACAATTATCGATTAATTGAATATATCTGCTCATGGGATGTTTTTTTGCTGACATAAGTTTTGGGTATCCGATTTTCAAAAATCTACTGTACAACGGATAAAAATTGTTAAGTTTATAGAATTCATTGTATTATGCAGCAAACTCTGGATTTGTAAGGCATACTCGGGCTAGCAGGTCAGTTTTGTTTGGCTAGTAGTTCTTCCAACACGGCTAGTAAAATCCTGCCACCAATTAGCCCTGGGCTAGTGAGCTATAACAAAATTTCTTAACCCCTGATTTTTCTAGTTTCATGACAATAACTTGTGTGTAAGTGTGTGGATCTCTCTGACATTGTATCACAAGGTTCCATATCACAAAGGGAATGCTGGGATTGATTTTGGGGGTAATTGCCTCCAAATTTTAGGAATTAGGGGCCAAAAAGGGGCAAAAAACCAGCATTTTTCTAGTTTCATGACAATAACTTGTGTGTAAGTGTATGGATCTTTATGAAATTGTACTACAAGGTTCCAATTCACAAAAGGAAAGCTGGAATTGAGTTTGGGGGTAATTGCCCAAAAAGTTTAGGAATAAGGGGCCAAAAATAAGCATTTTTCTAGTTTCCAGACAGTAACTTGTGTTCAAATGTATGGATCTCTCTGAAATTGTACTGCAAGGTACCATACCACAAAGGAAAGGCTGGGATTGATTTTGGGGGTAATTTCCTCAAAATTTTAGTAATTAGGGGCCATAAAAGGGCAAAAAAACAAGCATTTTTCTAGTTTCAGGACAATAACTCGTGTAAGTGTATGGATCTTTATGAAATTGAACTGCAAGGTCCAATTCACAAAGGGAAAGCTGGGTTTGAGTTAGGGGTAATTGCCCTAAACGTTTAGGAATTTGGGGCCAAAAAGGGGCCAAAAAACAAGCATTTTTCTAGTTTCCAGACAATAACTTGTGTTTAAGTATATGGATCTCTCTGAAATTGTACTAGTACTGCAAGGTACCATACCACAAAGGGAAAGCTGGGATTGAGTTTGGGGGTGATGAATCATAAGGGGGTTAAAATAATTGGGGGGGGGATTTTTTTTTCCATTTTTTTCTTTAAAATTTTCCATTTTAAATTGGTTATTTCTGATTTATATATAAAAGCAAATAATAATGATATGGTTTGAATAGGTAAATTAAAAAATTTTAAGTTCTTAGACTACTTTCATTCTGTGTGAGAAACCTATGCTGTGTCAAATATTTAATTACAACCCAAATTCAGTGCTGTATCAAGCTTGAATGTTGTGTCCATACTTGCCCTAACTCACTTTCAACAGTTCAGGGTTCGACCTCTGCGGTCGTATCAAGCTTCGCCCCAGCAGGGGCATTTTATTTATCTTGATTTGTATATTAAAAATGGATTTACAAGTTTTGAAAATCAGTATATAACCATGATAACTATTGCCTTTTAGAACTGTATCCAATAAAATTAATGAAATTTTATATATACTTCTGTATACAGATGTTAAATCGGAAATATTTTTTTCATACATTTATTATTGCAATTTTTTCAACAATTGACAACAATGTAAAATTAATTATGGTAATTTCAAGAAATGCAGCATACAAGATATTCTATCGTAATTTATTATTTGAGTGTGGCAATTTTTTGCAATACATGTACATCATGTGCATGTAATAAAAAACCATCAGAATTTTTTCATTTAATTGCAAATTATATATATTTGTAAATAATCATAAAAAAATCATTGCAGGTATTCAAAGCAGTAGAATTGTCACAAGTAAGGAAAGGTGCTTTAAATGTATTGACCCATATGTTACTGAGCTTCCAACACTCACCGGAGCCATTCCATAAGGTAAGTAAAAGATTGGTTCTGATTGTTGGTGTACAACGCTACTTTCTGCAACCTTGGCTTTATTATGGCTGCCAGTTTTATTGTTGGAGGAAGCCAGAGAACCATGATCTTCAACAGGAAAACTGGCGATCCTTTTCAATTAAGATAAAGAATTGAACTAGCCAGTGGGCCATCAATGATAACAAAATACAAAAAAAATGAATGTTGGTAAGTGATGATAAGAATAAAACACAAAAAAAGATATCTGGTTAATTTTACAACCTCCATATTTAAAGGGAAAATTGGCTGAAAGATGGAAAATATGTATATTTGGTTGTACATTGCACGATGTAATACTTTTGACTACTGTAAATTCAGAAATTATTGCATGCATTTATTTTTTGCGATTATGTCATATTAGACTAAAATGCGATTCTAATTTTTGCAATATTGAGAAAAATCCTGTTTAATTCATATAAAATATTTCAAAATGTGAGTTTAAATTATTGCGATTATAACCCTGTTGCATTTTTCGCAATAATAAAAACATCGCAATAATTTCTGAATTTACAGTAGTTCTTTATTACTGTAATTTCCCATAAAAAATCCTGTACCAAAAAATTAAAAAGTATATATATGGAAGAGGTTGAAAGAAGACCTAAAATACGATCTAAGATTCACCGAATAATGTCTTTTTATTTCCTATACTATAGAAATTAAATTCAAATAATGATCTTTAATATAAATGCCATTGATAATAATTTCAGATTTTACCCAAGATTCCAAGAGTTATGTCTATTTTGACTTCAGAGACTTCTGCACATAGTCAAGATTGTGCTGTTAGGTTGGCTTACCTTATTCATTGCTGTATGTACCATCATGCTGGTTACCCTGATCTTTATGACCCAGTTATGGAAATTATTAAGGTAAGATCTAGGTATCATGTTTTGAATATTGAATAAAATATAAAAAACATGAAGAAAGTCAATTTAATATCATGCAATATCAAAATGATTTGCTTTTATTCTGGGCTAATTTATTATCCTCTATTAGGGAACCCAGATCCCTTTAACTTCCAAAGGATTGCACTCATGTTGAAGATGTTCACTTGCCAGAAAGGAATTGTTTGAGGATTTTTTTCCCATTTATTCTGGACCTGGGAGCAAAATCATCTTTTTACAGTAAAGTTTACAACTCCCATCTTTATTTTCCATCAGATCCCTGGAACCTGACAAAGATTGCACTCATACATGTTGAAGTTTTGCACCTACTAATATAGAATTGTTTGGCAAGTTTTTTATACCTGGGAATCAGGGAATGAAACTTTAAAAATGAAGTCATTTCTTCAGCCAAATTTCGAAAAGATTGAAACAATTTTCGTTTTTTACTCAAATCTTTGGAACTAAAGCAAAAGATAGCAAACCTATTAAGGATGTGCATCTTCCATGATGGAGTTGTTTAAATATTTTACCATTTTAAAAAAATTTATATTTCCATATGTAAAAGTTCAGTTTAGACCATTGTCCATTGTTTAAGACATTTCTATGCAACTGGACCATTTGAGTCTTTGGTCTTGTTTTTGGACAATTCTTCCACAACACCTTGTAAGCAAAATTCCCATGAGGACGTGGTGACAGAAAGCTTTCAAACTTAGTAGAAATATTTGCTAGCATGACCATTTTTTTTAACTACAGAAATTCAGTACCTAAAATTCAGTAACCTATAACTTAATTTGCAGAAACCCTGATTATACCTTAAAATGACCTGAATAAACTTATATTTTTACTTATCGAGGTTTGACTGTACATAATGGAAATCATAGTAAAATTTATACTTATTTAAATTAAAAAAAAACAAGAATGACATTGCATGTTCTCCTAAATAACATTTTTGTTTTTCAAAGATATTAATTGTTTGATTACAGGATTTCCCACAACCAGATCCAGAGGAAATACAAAAGAAATTGGCAGAGACAAGATGGACCAATCAGAAAGCTGGGAATAAAAATTATGTTGTCAAGGTCACACAGAGGTCAGAGACAGGAAAAACAGGATTACATAACCTTGGCAACACGTGTTTTATGAACAGCATTGTACAAGCCTTATTTATGGCTGATGGGTAAGATTTTAGTGTTTCAAACCAGAAAAAGAGATACATATACAGTGAAACTTGTCAAAACTGAATCTTGCTTGACTGTTGATGTTGTTCCTATAAGGCATGCTTTTGGTTTCAATAGGGTTTAACACACAGTTCTCAAAAGCATGACAAGATGGGTCAATTTAAAATTACTTTTGGTGGTTATTTTTCACAGTGAGTGATTGTGGATTTGGGTGCTTCACTCTTTAAAAATACGTCTTGGTATTGTCCATAGAGCAGGGGGAAATCTAGAGTGGTATCACTGCAAATTGCCATCAATCACCCATTTTCACAGTAATTCACTCATCAACAGCAAAAATAATGTTTAACTGACCATCTTAATATGTTTTCTTCTTATCCTTATACACAAAAAAATTGTTTTACGGGACATTCAAAAATCGTAAGTCGAAGAAAAAAGAAAAGCTGACCAAGCCAGTATACACAGACAGATTTCACCTTAGTATGCTAATGGGTTACTATGTTAAAGTACAAATATTCACTTTAGTTTTATGATATGATAAATTTTCTTTTGCAGATTCCGAAGAAGTATATTTTCACTGTCGTCCATGGGAGATAAAAACTTGTCTACAAAGTTACAACAACTGTTTGCCTTTCTCAGCCATACACAGGTTTGTTCAGTTTATTATACTCCAGCTTTTTTAAGTTGTGGGGGTATCTGTCTTATTACCATTCCATTCCTCCTCCCTCCCCCCCTCACATAATGTGTTGCAAGGGACATAGCTATTACGGCTATCCATCCGTCCAGTCTTGTTAGCATGCTTCCATGTATAATTCTTGCTAGATTTTAATAAAACTTATATCATAGGTTTATATCAGCATTGTCTCAGACAAGTTTGAAAATCAGTGCCAATCAATAATTTTACCTTGGAAATATTAAGTATATTGAATATTGCATTATTAGCACTTTCATGTTCATTCATGCTAGATTTATATGAAACTTATATCATAGGTTTATAGACAGCATTGCAATGTGTCAAAAATCATTGCTATCAACGATTTTTAAAAAGTTATGCCCCTTGGAAATATTAATTATATGGAAAATTTCTTTGTAAATTAATGCTCTCACATGTGCAATTTTGCAGATTTTTATCAAATTTATATCAAAGGTATACATGTTTATATCAGCAGTGTTGATCAAATATTTTTAAAAGAGTTATGCCACTTGGAAATATTAGTTATATTGGAAATTTCATTGCATTTGCTCTCAAGCCTTCATTTCTCTAAGATGTTTACAAAAAAATTATAGAACAAAAGAAACAAGATTTTCTTTGTTATTGCCCTTGGACATATAAAATATGTGCAACACGTATGAAGTACCAGTATTTAATGAAACAACAAATCAAATATTTGTTAGTGCTCTTATTTGTACAATTCTTGCCAGATTTTGAAGAAACTTGTATCATATATTTATATTGGCAATATCTCTGACAAGTTAAAAAATCAGTGCTGATCAAGAGTAATGCCCCTTGGAAATATTAATTATATTTCATTTCTCTTAAGGTGTTTAAAAATATTTTAAAGAGCAAAAAAATAAGATTTTTTTTCTTATTGCCCTTTACAGATAAAATATGTGCAACACATATGAAGTACCAGTATTTAATGAAACAAATCAAATCAAATATGCAAGAAAATACATTTCTTTCTCAATTGAACATTTTTAATGAAACCAATTGCAATAAAGGTAGAAGATTTGTAGAGTATATTGTAGAAATTATTGTTAAAAAGAAGTTTCAAAAATTTTGATAATATTAAATCATTACAAAATGTTTCTTTACCATGTTTACAGAGGCCAGCCTATGCCCCAATCAATTTTCTGGCTGCTTCAAGACCTCCATGGTTCACAGCAGGCCACCAACAGGACTGTTCAGAGTTCCTAAAATACCTATTGGATCAAATTCATGAAGAAGAAAAAACTGCCGTAAAAAAGAAAAAAATGAGTATGAACGGCAAACAAAACCAGGCAACTACCGAAGAAGCATCTGAAACTACAGAGGAAAATTCTGTGATTGAAGATTGTTTTGGCGGGCAAGTTAAAACTACCTATACTTGCCTTACTTGTAAGACTGAATCATCAAGAACAGAATTGTTTACAGATCTTCCTCTGGCCTTCCCTGAATATGGGACTTGTGAAAAATCACTGGTGGGCGGTGACAATAAACGTAAGAAAAGCGGTGACTCTGCTAAAGTCAATGATGAAGATAAAAAACAAAGTGATTCTGCAGCTTCTAAAAAGTTACATTTGAACGATTTAGTGCAATTTTACTTCAAGCCTGAGAAAATGACAGGGGACAATAAATACTTTTGTGAAAAGTGTGGCGAACTGCAGGATGCCGAGAGAAGTATTAAACTGAAACAAGTGCCCGACACTCTTATCTTTACACTTCTTCGGTTTTCCTATGATGCCAAAAGGCATACACGTACCAAAATTTTCCGTGATGTAAAATACCCCAGAACTTTAGTGCTTCCAAGTGACTGTGATAGTGCTGAAACATCAGCAAATCCCACTGACAGACGAAAATCAGTCAGAACTATGATAACCAATAAAATTGAAGAATGTGGTATAAATACAAATACATCCAATTCCAAGGGTGAAATTTATAGTTTGTTTGGTGTCATTATTCATTCTGGAGTGTCGTCTGAAAGCGGCCATTATTATTGCTATGCAAGACATTCATTGTTTACTAATCCAGAAGCTTACTGTGATAAAGTTCAAGATTGCAACGATGAAGATGAAATAGACTTCTTGCAAAATAAGTGGTACCTCTTCAATGATAGCTCTGTATCACATGCTCATTTTAATTCCTTCAGTAATGTTACACAGCGATTCACAAAGGACACACCATATATCTTGTTGTACAAGAGAATAACCCCTAGTCAGGCTGAAGGCCAAGATATCGATTTGAACAAGTCTCTTCATACATCAGAAGTGGACCCTCCAATGAGAGCTGACCTTAGAGCTCTTGTTAATAAGGACAATACTTTTTTTCTACAGGTAACAACATTTTATTTTATTGATTTTGACTTAATATGGAAATTCTAGGGGTCAAAATGATTTGTTTATTGTCGAGCCTTCGACTTTAGTCGAAAAAGCGAGACATAGCGATCCTACATTCCGTCGGCGTCGGCGGCGTCCACAAATATTCACTCTGTGGTTAAAGTTTTTGAAATTTTAATAACTTTCTTAAACTATCCTAGATTTCTACCAAACTTGGACAGAAGCTTGTTTATGATCATAAGATAGTATCCAGAAGTAAATTTTGAAAAAATAAAATTCCATTTTTTCCGTATTTTACTTATAAATGGACTTAGTTTTTCTGCCGGGAAATATTACATTCACTCTGTGGTTAAAGTTTTTAAAATTTTAATAACTTTCTTAAACTATCCTGGGTTTCTTCCAAACTTGGACAGAAGCTTGTTTATGATCATAAGATAGTATCCAGAAGTAAATTTTGTAAAAAAAAAAAATCCATTTTTTCCTTATTTTACTTTTAAATGGACTTAGATTTTCTGCCAGGAAACAACACATTCACTCTGTGGTTAAAGTTTTTAAAATTTTAATAACTTTCTTATACTATTTTGGATTTGTACCAAACTTGGACAGAAGCTTGTTTATGATCAAAAGCTAGTATCTAGAAGGAAATTTTGTAAAAAAATAAATCCATTTTTTCCGTATTTTACTTTTAAATGGACTTAGATTTTCTGCCAGGAAACAACACATTCACTCTGTGGTTAAAGTTTTTAAAATTTTAATAACTTTCTTATACTATTTTGGATTTGTACCAAACTTGGACAGAAGCTTGTTTATGATCAAATGCTAGTATCTAGAAGGAAATTTTGTTTTCTTCCAGTTAACATTGCATTCAGTCTGCAGTTAAAGTTTTTTAACATTTATTAGATTCATAAACTATCCTGGATTTTTACCAAACTTGGACAGAAGCTTCTTACAATCAAAAGATAGTATCAACAGGAATATTTTTATTGATTTACTTCCTCATTTTTGTTGAGCCTGCCATTAACAGAAAAAGTAGGCGAGACACTGGGTTCCGTGGAACCCTTACAAATTTTTATTTTTTTCACTTCATGTTAATTTTACAGTGATGTGGTTCTTTTGAGAATTGATGATGTAAGATTTGCTACTTTACTTATTTTCAGAGAATGATAAAAAAAATACACAAAAAAATAAATTCTTTATGATTTTGTTCTATATATTGCAACTATATAAAACTTATCTGTAGTTGCAACATTAAAAGTACCAGTTTTACTGCAACAGATGCAAGTTTTGACAACAAACACGACAAATGTCTCTTCAGTGATACTCAAGGCCAAAATTAAAAAAAAAAACAACTTCTACAAACATTGAAGTGCTGATCAAAAACATGTAGGTTTGTTATTTCCTGAATATATGCATATATTTTGAACTGAATTCTATATTTCAGGAACAAGAAGCAGCTGCAAAAACAAAATCAACTAAGAAACAGGAAGCAGCCAATACTAGTTCCTGGTTCAACTGGAACAATGATGATGACAATGGTCCTCCAGGAAGCTGTGGGGGAGGAGATGGAGGCAGTGGATTTGGGGGCTTAAATGGTGCAAACAGATTTATATTCTAAAAAAAAATGTTCCATGAACAATTAACTGTTTGGGAATTTCCTGATGGAAGAAATCCAGATATTATTGATTTTCTTATAACTCATTTAAAATTTTGGAATTATAAACATGATAAAGCAAAAGAAAAGCAATATTGCCTCTGAAGTATGGAATTTGGCATCCTTGATTTGACGAAACAAATATCTACTGTGTAGATGAAGTGTAAAATACAGTTATGATAACTGTGTGAAAGAAATACTGTATCTAGACATTTTCTCACTGGTTTATTTTGGCTTAAAACTTGATCACATAAAATACACAAAAATATTCCCTTCATAAATAATTCTATATTGTAAATTCAGAACTTTTTGCATGCATTTATTCAAATGATTTTTGGAAAATTTACAAAAACATGTGAGATTAATTATTCTGATTTCAAGAAATGCAGAATACAAGTCAAATAATGCTATTAAACTTAAAACGTGAATCTTTATTTTGCAAAACCTTTCCCTTCACAGTGATAAAAAAACATTACAGAATTTTCCTACTTTACAGTGACTGACTGTAAAGTTTAAGCATTGATATCTCAAAAAAAATAATAATTGAGAATATCTACCTTTACAGTACATTGTTTTGTTGTTAGTAATGACTTATTTTTATGTTATGTATTGTGTACTTTTTACAAACTTGTACAGAACTGAAATTAAAATGACTGTGATACAAAAATGAATATTTGTATATATTAAGGTGATACCAATGCAATTTGTATATAACATAGTTTTTTATTCACATTAGCTACCTATTGGCCAGGTGAGCTTTTCTCATAACTTGGTGTCTGTTGCCCTTCAATTTCTGTAAAATATCTTCTCCTCTGAAACAACTCGGCCAAATTTAACCAACTTTGACCACAATCATTAATAGGGTATTTAGTTTGAAAAAAAATTCTGATGATCCTGTCTGCCAACCAACATGGCCACCATGGGTACAAATATAACATAAGGGGTAAAATGCAAGTTTTGTCTATTATCTTGAAAACTGCTATAGATAGAGAAAATCTGACAGGGGCAGAAATGTTCTAAATGTTGAGATCTAACAATTGTCTATTTTAATCAAAACTGTCAGATGATTTATATAGGAGTTATTGCCCTTGAATTTTTACCCATTATTGCATTTTTAACTGGATTTTCAAAGTAAAAATGGGTTATTGATTTGGGGATGTAGGGAGGGCGGCTGCCAAACAGTGTCCATTCATTTACATTAAAACTCTTTGACAAAAGTTTTTTCAAATTTAGATATGTTGTTTCCTGTGACTAAATGAAGGTCAAGTTCAATTTGCACAACTTTATACTTACTCTTTATTGATTTCTGGACCCTTTTAGGAGCTTATTATTGATGCTTATTATGTGATTGAGTTATTTCCCTTTGAACAGAAACTAATAAGTTTATGTATAGATAGTCTATCAATGATTATATCTGTTCAATTGATTAGTCAGGAGTTTCTTTATAACTATTTTTTTTAAGTCAAGTGTGTTTTGAAGGTAGATGTCACAGTTGTTATGTGGTATTTTATTTTTGTTGTGTGTGTAAATTTTAATTTTTACTTGATCCTGTTTGGGGTTCCAGATTTGCAAATTCATTAGATAATAATCTATTTTTATTAAAGGATGTATTTCATTACATAACATTGTGTAGATAAAGTTGTAGACATCCATAGATAATTTGCAGATCTATAATAGTTTGTTACAAATGAAAGAAAAAATATTGGTAACTATTAACTATATATATAAAGTTTGATTACACTAAGTGTTTTTAAATGATTTTCAACTTTTATCAAGATAACACACCATCTGGTAATTGTCAATCACCCAATTATAATTGGAGTGACAGATTTATTTGAAAACTATTAATTAAATTGGATTATAGTTTGAAAATGAATATATATAACATCGTATCTAATTATATCATATCTAATTTTAGAGAACTATGGTTTAATCATATCTTATTTTAGTTTTACATTATTGGTTCATGGAAATAAAGTTTGAGTTATTTCCCTTGAAATATTTGAACAGAAATGGTTTACATCAAAAATTGAATTCTTGGGGTTCTTTGATATGCTAATTCTAGTAATGTACTTAGATTTTGGATATTGGACCATAATAGGTAAATGTCCAATTTCAAAATTTTCAGTTCTTTGACCACATTTATTTTGTGTCACAAACCTATGCTGTATCAAATATTCAATCACAATCCAAATTCAGAGCTTTAATAAGCTTAAATGTTGTGTCCATACTTGCTAAACTGTTCAGGGTTCGACCTCTGCAGGAAAATCCGGTTTGCTGTCTCTCTGACAGCCTCTTGTTGCCTTATATCTTAAAAACCATAATAGATAGAGAGAAACTTTATATAGCAAATATAATCACCAATACAAGATCAACAAAAAAGTGATTTTTGTCATGAATTCTCTTTTAGTTCACAATGCTGAAGATGCACACTGACCTAGGTAAGTGACACAGGCTCTTTAGATGGGGAGGTGAGCTAAATTATATTTCCCTAGAAATATGTGATTTAAAAAATGTTGGAAATAAACTCATCATAGATACCAGGATTGAAATTTTGTATTTGTGCCAGACGCACATTTCTTCTACAAAAGACTCATCAGTGACGCTAGAAACAAAAAAAGTTAAAAAGGCCAAATAAAGTACGAAGTTGAAGAGCATTGAGGACCAAACATTCCTAAAAGTTTTGCCAAATACAGCTAAGGTAATCTATTCCTGAGGTAGAAAAGCCTAAGTATTCAAAAAATAAAAGTTTTGTAAACAGTAAATCAAGTTACTTGTTTAATAGTGGTTTTTGTCGAGCCTGTGACTTCTGTCACAGAAAGCTTGACATAGCAGCTGCAGCATTAACAAACTTATTAAAAGCTTAATATTTCAGAAGGTAGAAGATCTGGATCCTTCATACTCTGTATATAGATGCCTTATGTTATGAAGTTTCCGTCTGTTATTTGTCCTTTGTCCATGGTTCAGTGACTACTTGAAAAAAGTTTAGATTTTTAGTATAAACTTCATTTCTTATAATGAGTAATAGGATAACTTTATTTGGTATGTGTGTACCTTGCAAGGTCCTCGTGCCTGTCAGACAGTTTTCTTTTGACCTTGACCTCGTTTCATGGATTAGTGAACAAGGTTAAGTATTGATGGTCAAGTGCATATCTCAAAATACTTTCAGCAATAGGTCTACTATATATTTGGTAAATTAAATGATTGTAAGGTGTACATGTCCATCTATCAGGTGTCATCTGTCTTTGACCTCGTTTTCATGGTTTTTATAGTGGTTAAAGTTGAGTTTTTGTGTTTTGTTCTGTTTTGCTAATACTGTATGCAATAGGTCAACTATATTTAGTATATGAAAATATTTAAAGGTGCACATATCAGTCTGGCATGCTTTATTTGACCTTGACCTCATTTTTACGGTTCATTGCTCAATATAAAGTTTTGTTTTTTGTCAGTTTTTCTAATACTATAAGCTATAGGTCAACTATAATTGGTGTATGGAATGACTGTAAGGTGTATATATCTGTCTGGAAATTATCATCTGACCATGACCTCATTTTCATGGTTCATTGGTCAATGTTAAATTCTCCTGGTTAAGTTTGTTTCTTAGATACTATTTGCAACAGGTCAACTATATTTAAAGTATGTAATGATTATAAGGTGTACATGTCTGTCTGGCAGGGTTCATCTGAACATGACCTCATTTTCATGGTTCATTGATCAATATTAAATTTCCTGGTTACATTTGTTTCTAAGATACAATGTGCAATAGGTCACCTATATTTAAAGCATATTTGGTGTATGGAATGACTGTCGGGTGTACATGTATTTTCAGTTTGGTTTATCTGACTTTGACCTCATTTTCTTGGATCATGTTAAGGACTATCTTCATAAAACCAATGGTTAAGGCTATTCCATTAAAATGTATGTGGTAGGGTAGGAAGGGACTTTCAAAATATCCCTACAACCAAGAACCATTTTTTTAGATAATTTTCCATAATAGTAATAGACGCATACTGAAAAAAGATCCATGACCCACATTCAATAATTAAACTGCCCTTCCTATCCTCCCACAAACATTTTAATGGAATAGCCCTTAGTAAAGAGCACTCCTGTCTTTGAACGTAAAGCATTGTGTAATCATTTTCTAAAATATAATGAAATATAACATCTAACCTATTGTGGGTAAGAACTATATAAAAATGATATTCAAATACTGTACATAAAGTTGACATTTATTATCATGTTTATAAAACAATCTTGAGAAATACTGTCACACTCGTTATTGTTTGAACACAGAGAGAACACAAACCGAGATTAATTAATAAGCAAAGAAAAACTACTTTGTACTTTTTCCCTCCAAATGTATTAATTTCTTTTTATAGTAAATACTTAAGAGTTTGAAATTGTGTTTAGTTGACAGCTGTTAAATTTTGTATTTATATGAATGGGCCATCACTCATTTATCTGGGCATATAGTTCAACCAACATCTGTGATTCTGTTTTCTGAAAATCAGAACTTTTTCTGGACTTTTTTACCCTAATGCCTGTAGATGTTCAGCTGATTTCTTCTGCAGAATGCAAGACATAAGGATTACAATCAAGCTGAAGAAGAGGGATGCTAACTATTGGTAAAAAGCTTTTTATTCCAGAAGGTAGAAGATCTGGATGATTCGTACCTTGTATGCAGATACGTTATGTTGAGAAGTTTCCGTCTGTCATGGGTTCATTGTTCTTGACCTCATTTTTCATGGTTCAACAACTGTTTGAAAAAAGGAAATATTTTTTTTTGTTATGTGAAATTGAATTTGACAATTGTGATTAATAGGATAAAGATATTTGGCATATTGGTTCCTTGCAATGTCTACATGTTCATCAGACGGGGTTCATGGTTACAATAACAATTACAATTAGGTCTGTTTCTCAGATACTATAGACAGTAAGTCAACAACATGTAGTGTATAGAATGATTGTAATGAGGAACATGTCAGTCTGACAGGTTTCATCTGACCTTGACCTCATTTTCATGGTGCAATGTTAAGTTATTGTGTATTGGTCTGTTTTTCAAATATAAGTAATTCATCAACTATAGTTGGGGTATGGAATGATTGTAACATTTACATGTCTGTCAGGCAAGTTATTTGTCCTGGACCTTATTTTTATTGTTCAATGGTCAATATTAACTTTCTGTAGTTTGGTCCACTTCTAAGATACTATACGTAAAAGGGCGACTATCTTTGGTGTTTGAATGATTGTAAGGTTCTCATTTCTGTCTGCCTTGTTTCATTTGACCTTAACCTCTTTTGTGGTTCATCAGTGAGTGCTTAGTTATCTTGGTTAAATCTGTGTCATAGATTTTACAAGCAATATATAAACTATATTTGGTCAAAAGAATTATTGTAATGTTTACATGTCCTGTCTTTTATCACCTGACCTTGACCTCATGTTCATGGTTCATTGGACAAAAGTAAGTTTTCATGTTTTGGTTTATTTCTTTGATACCATAATATATATATTATAAGCAAAAGGGCAACTATATTTGGTTTATGGAATGATTGTAAGGTGTACACTTTTTATATGTAAGTTTATATGACCTTGACCTTCTTGTCATCCATCAATGATAATGTTAAGTTTATGTGATACCTGTAACTAAAGCTTTATTTTTAAGACTTTCAGCATTCCATCAATCATTGTCAGTTAAGCAGGCGAGACATTTCAGTGTACATGTGTGCACTCTTGTTGGTTTATAAGTGTGTAAACATGTTGGTTGTTAATACTGTGGATTTATGTATTTTCGTTGGTATCAATTTTCGTGGATAGAGAAAAAAAGACGTTTCGTGGTATACGTAAATTCGTGGATCGCTGATTACAAAAAATAAAAAAAAATTTTTTTTTTATTTAGGAGATCATATAACCTCCTTAATTTGATCAATAATAAAACAAACAAAAAAGAAGGAATTCATTGAAAAAGTTTTGAATTGTCAAAATCCTCGCTTGGTCATTCTAGGTTAAAGTGTTCATTGAAAACTTCTAATGGACAGAGACAACTAATTATTTGTTTGTTTTACAATTTATACATTCTTGTCGGAATTTTACAAGGCATTCAAAACTCTATGATTGAAAGCTCATTTCTCTAATCACGATATAATAAACAGTCATATAAGTAAAAGGTGTGAAAATAAATGTTCCTGTCATAAACAATATTACCTACTGGCAATATCCCCGTACTTAATCGTATTGATTTTTAATCACAAGTAAACCAAGCTATGACACGGTAATTAACAACTTGCAGTTATTTTCATGAACAGTTTAATCAATTTTAAAAAGTAAATTATCACTGATATTCGATATATTTATTATTGATTTAATCAAAATACTTTTATCTTCTTTCAATAAAAAAACGTGTTATGTAACAATGTTTATCGCTAATCAACACTATACTAGAACTGCATTATATAACCGGAAATAAACATCCGACTCCATACACATTTCTCGGGATTATTCTTCGTTGAATTCTTAAATTCGTGGTTCGGTGTGACCCACGAAACCCACGAAAATTGGTATACCACGAATAAAAATGAATCCACAGTAACTTACCCTACAGAACTGCAGCCAATGGTCATAGAAAATTTTATGAACACCTCCTTTAATTTTATTTACTTGACATCTCACCTGGTCAAAAGGGCTAGTATGAGCTATTTACTGCTGTCACTTGGTGTCCATCATCTTAACTTTTACAAAATTCTCTAAAACTTCAAGGCCAAATAAAACCAAACACGGTGGAATTCATTCTTGTTGTATCTGGTTTTAAAAGTGTATCCTTTGATTCGTTTTGGCAACCAACATGACTACCTAGTCTAAAAATAGAACACAAGTTAGGGTAAAACGCAAGTATGATGTGATTTCCGAGTATTATCACTCAATACTAATACTTCTAATACAATGAAGTGCTCCTAATTGTACTAACTTACCAAATATACTCTGATACTCTCTGGTTAAGTTCTAGTACAGGCGTTCTCATTCCCGCCAATACGCCAACTCTCGTTACCTGGTAACTATCTGAGATCTTATCCTGAGCTGGGTAGTTTACCATGGATCATTCCGGGAACCGGGCTACGCGGTATATCTAACTACCGTACTGTCTACATAGTAATGTCACGTCCATTATACCATATTACACAACACTCCCCCCCACTTTGAAAGGAGTGAGTTTACTTCCTATTCGAATATTCACTATCTTCCTTTAGTCCACCCCGTCTGGTCGCACCACGGGGATACAAATAAATCTCCATATATATAGTTATATATATTTTCCAATGTTGACATTTCAACAACACACATATTTCAAAATTCCACAATTGCTCCGTTCTCGCTCTGCGGAGTTAATTTATAACTATCATATCATTCCTTGATAGATATATAGATGTATTAAACACAATCTATCATATCTGATGTAATTTCCAATCACAATTTACAACTGATTTTCTATGTCCACATGAATCTGCTCTATTTACATTTCAGAATAAACCTGTCTCCTGCAGGCTGCTTAACT